TGACCTCGAAAGGTCAAGGTCAAAGGTTGACCTCAGGTCACGTGACCTCGAGGTCATCATGTATATCATTCGATGCGTCTTGACGAGCTGAACACAATGAGACCATCCACGCGTCTGTATCTTGTTCCTGTACGGAGTTATTGGCCAAAAACCTTTGGTGACCTTTGATGACGTCACATGACCTCACAGCTGCCCAACAGCAAAACAGACCTCAAGGTAGTGAAGGTTGATCGTATATGAAGTCATGTATGGTATATGGGGCCATTCCGACCCGTTTTAGTGGTAAAAACAGGGAGTTGATTTTCCCCCCATTGACTTATAATGGGGAGGTCGCGAAATTGACCTGACCTTAGGTCACCGATATCAAAATTCCGAGATATACAAATTGCACATACTGGTACCCTAACTAAACCCTGAAGAGAAGAAATTGATCGGTCAAAAACTCTAGCTCTGGCGTGATTGCAAACTTTTCTGAGGTAGGGTCACCAAACCGCCTCTGGTGACCTGACCTGAGGTCAGATCAACTCAAAATTTTCAGACATGTTGCGTAGAAGCCTTTTAGGAAAAGTCAGAAAATTTGAGCTTCCTAGCTCAACGCGTTTGGGAGAAATAACCAAAAAACCTCAGGGGGGGGGCTCCTGAGGCCCCCCCCCCCCCGCCAGGAATAGGGTTAAACAGCATTGGCATCCTTAGGGTGTCTATATCTGTCTAAACTTAAAGAAAAAACTGACTGGATGACGCTTCACAAAAAATAATGACGTCATTGACACCGCGAGCACTTACCCAAAATAGCATGATTTAAGGCGCTATAAAAGTGAGGAAAAAAGTGCTAGGACTTCACAATTTTGTGTCCATTCATATCAATAGTGGCAAAATGTGTGACCAAAGTTTCATTAATCTGCGTCACCTGTAACTATGTTAGGCTCAAAACTTTTCATTCACCCTACGTACGTCTGCAGGAGAGACCGGACCCACTATGCCCCCCCCCCCCCCCCACCATCGAAAGGTTCTTCATGACTCCCGGGGGCCCCCGGGGAACCTGGGGTGCCCTATACACTGTGGGGGGCCCTTCGAAAGCAGATGGCCCCCTCCTGGGCGAAATCCTGGGTACGTGCCTGCTGTTTGTAGCCTCAAGTGACCTCGGATGACCTGTCTAGAGGCTATCAGCAAAAATGACACCTTGGTCATCACGAGTGGACTAAATCATTGTGATTCTGAAATATTTGGACTGTTCCGATGCGTACACACGGATCTAGAGGCATTTTTATTTTTCTCCATTGACTTGTAATGGAGAGGTCACGCCACTGACCTGACCTTAGGTCACGGATATAAAAAATCCGAGATAGACAAATTGTAGGCGCCCATAACAGCATGCAATCCACCAAGTTTTAAACCTTTCTGACAAACACTGCAGGCTGCGCGTGATTGCAAACTTTTTTAGGCTTGGTCAGTTAACTTGGCCTGGTGACCTGACCTGACATGACCTGGGGTCAAAAATTTCACACATTGTCCAAAATTGATGTACCAAAAGCTACCCCAAGCGGCGCGGCGCGCCGCGGTTTTCTATTCACACGCAAAAAACGCGACAGGGTGGTAACATATGCCCCCCCCCCCCCCCCACTGGGGCGAAGGATAATGGTGAGGTCACGAAAGTGACCTGACCTCCTATGACCTTTAGGAAAAATCCGAGATATACAAGTTGTGAGACTCATAATGGATACTAGATCCTGCAAGTTTCATTTCCCTGTGACATCTCCTCTGGCAGTGAGGGCGTTGCGAAGTTACGACATCTAAAGACCGTGCAGAGGGTTACTTATGACGTCATAGATCAGTGACCTGACCTGACCCAAAAATGCGGTTAGTGTCAAAAGATCTGGCTTGAATCAGAGGTCAGGTATGCCAAGTTTCAGCTCTCTATCGCCAGCGTGTTCGGAGCTATAGTGAAAAAACCTATGGGGGCGGCACCCCCCCCCCCCCCCCACCTCGGCCGGCGAGGGTTAAACCGGCTGGCAGAAACCATGGTGGCAAAAGTTGGCTAAACCCAAGTGGTCAAAACTTTTTTTTCTAGTTGACAATTGATTGAAATGGGGGAAGAAAGCCCGTCACGAGAGGAAGCCGATGATACCCAATTTTGAAGTTCAGTGTTTGCTTTCCGAGTCAGGTCAGTTAGGGGAAGTTGGGGGAACGCCGAATACTTTTTTTCTGACGCCCGTAGCACGCAAGGTAGACATCATAAGCTATTCTTGTTGGCGTCATTCGAGAGGCCAGTCTTTTGCCTTTCAAACATACCAGGCGCATTTGATGAATTCGCATACCGTTAAGCGCACAAACTAAAAATATCAAAGAAGTGACTTTTTCGGCGTTGCCCTGGACTGCGGGGAAAGCCGAAAATGGGAGAAATGATCTACGGGGAATGCCGACATTGATGTTTTGCCACTTTATTTCAAACTTTATCCAGAATTTATCAAAGCTGACACGCGTTTTAAGAGCTTGAGGACGCTTGGTGCACACTTGACGTTATAATTGTGTGATATAATCAAGGCCATCTATAGAAGGTACAGTCACTCCCCCGCCGACCAATCAGAGACAGATCCTGAGTGACGTCACCCCTGATGCTCGAAAGGGGTACTCCATTCCTTCACAACGTAAAAATGACTAACTTCATTTGAAGATTGTTGGTGACACTCTACACACATCGCTCATCCATTGATGTCATTGGAAAGTCCAACTAATTTTCTAGCGATAAAAAAAGCAGCAATATGCTAAGAAATGGCCGGTTTTGAAGATATAGACGATTTAAAAACCCTCTGCAGTTGCAGGAAAGCAACGTAAAAACGCATCAAGCTTATATTTTTACTATGAATAAATCATTTTTTCAGTAAGTTTTTAGATGTGGTATCGATTTATTCAACAACATTATTACAATATTTTTATTACTTGGAACTTTATTTCAAAATAATATTTTCAAAAATGGCAACTGTTGGAAAGTAGCTTTGAAGCGATGGTATTCCTATTGGGTATTCCTTATGGGTAACAGGCCGCTGTGTCGGTTGAAAGTGTAATTTGTGTGACTAAAAATTCGCGTTGCTATTCTACAGCAGTAAAGTCCACGTAGCGTGCTTTAACGTGCGTAATTGCACGTTTTCGGCATTACCCCAGCCAGCCGTACTTTCATTTGCAGGCCCATAACTTTTCAACGTGCCGTATAAATTTCAAATAGGCAGCACATTTATGCAAAGACATGCTGAAGATTACTTGACCGAATTGGCCAGACAAACGGTAGCATAATGAGTAAGAAATGCAGCTTCAAAGGCGTATGTAGTACAAGGAACGCGTACCTTGAAAACGCTCTTGGCGCCCTCACAGCCGAAGTATTCCGAATGACGACTCGTAACAAACATGCGATAATTGTAGTCACTTAAGCTTCAGTCAGAGCATCACTGACAGGTGGCATCCATGTCTTACGGTTTTCGAAATATCTCGAATTTAGGCTTTGCCCCAACTCCGGCATTGCCCCAACTTCCCCTATAGTAGGGGAGAGTGGGGTGGGTTGTATCAGTTTTTACTCCGAGACCCATAACCTCGTAACTATCCGTGATATACTCATTATTTCCATACCATCCCCTTCCTTGATTCTTCTGCTTTTTTGTGCAAAGTAACTTTTCCGCTACCTCTACCAGTTTTTCTTCTACGGTCTCCCGAATAGAACAATGTTTTTGATACAACTTGCCCCATGGCTTGGGTGAGTTGTATCACATGGTGGGGTAATTTGTATCACTATTTCACGTTTCAGGGAGTGTGCTTGCTACTGGTTTTGAACATAACAACAACATTAAATGGGGTTAATACAATATATAGGTATGCTCAAAGGCTTCACTTTATTAGACCAAACTTAGGTCAATGCAATCCGAACGAAACATCAACAGACTAGACGCAAAAGTGGCCCATTAAGAGCAAAGAAGCCAACACATTGTGCCGAAATGGAACGAGCATTGACTAGCTACCTACAAACGCGAGCCAGGGCTTAGCTTTTGTGATCAAAAGCAACATACCCATACATACATACATACATACATGTTACAACATACCCCACCCGGCTCTGATACAACATGTACCTAGCCGCCATCTTGGAAAACACATCCTCGTGCTAAAAAACAGCGGACAGCTGGAGAAATCCGTTTTCACTCACGCAGCCTTAGAACCTACCCTCACCACCGCTACGGAGATCTTTCAAATTCGTGCACATCTAAATGCCCAGAACACACATTTTCTTGCAACTTATTTTTTTAGAATGACATTAAAAAAACATAAAATCGGCTCTCACCTCGAGACGCGTTCACTCAGCCACAAGACAGAACAGGGAAAGATGGCGCCCGGAAAACCTCGTCGGCTGGTCGTGTCGCGAGCGCCATCCATTGGATAAGTTTGGCACAATTCGCCCTGATACAACTTGGACATGATACAACTCTCCCCGCTCTCCCCTATAAAAAGGAAAATCGCGACCTGCTAGAACTTCTCAAAGAAAGACGAGAGATTGTGTTTTTCGGGTTACTGCTTTTGAATTTGGTATTTATAGGAAAGAGAGACAGAGACGGAGACAGAGTTAGAAGGGATGACATTCGTATGTGTTTTCATTCACCTGTCCGTGCTTCTATCCTCAGGAAACTGACATCCTTCTCCTCCACGCCACAACCCCCCTCCGGGCTGGACAGGCAACTTTATCTCATGCGGGCTGCTTCCTTGGAGCGGCACCGCTGCTCCCGAGGGAGCGCACCCCGTAGCCGGGTGCAGTGAGTGCCTTGGGGCTGGGTGGCCTGTCTTCGGACGGGCTCAGCCCCGGCGACTCACTAGGGTGCCTGCCCAGACCAATGTCTCCCCCTATATCCTATCATCCTCCCGGCTCTGAAATGGTCTTACTGGACCGAAAGGGCCTAACCCAACAAAACAAAAACAAACAATGTTTTCATTCAACCGTCTTATAGATTTTCTTTGCTTTCCAGTTCAACATGGCACCTGCTGTCAGCAAGAGCAAGAGGAAGAGGATCCAGGCAAGGCGGAGGGCAGTGGGGAGAGTGGTGACGGTTAAAGTTTTGATGGTTGGGGATGAAAAGTTTAGTGATTCTAGGGTTGGGCCTCACCTCGATGTCATCAACAGAAAAATTCGTCGTACATCCCTTAAGACCGAGTTCATCAACTTCGAGCACACACCTCCCGTTCTGTCCTATTATGGAGAATCCTGCACGAACGCACTTGTAACTGCAGATATCCTGGGGAGGGTGGGGTTGCTGTGTGGCAAGGATAGGACTCAACTCTTTTTGCTCTTCTTTTCGATGGGCGGGAACGGAGTGTTCAGTCGAACAGGGCGTAAGTCCGACGAAGAGACACAGGCGGAGCTGGATGCCCACGAAAATCTTTTGCGGGAGCTCCTTGCCCAAAATTCCAATCTGTGTGCGCTTGTGTTTGGTGTTTTTCCTCGTCCGGCTCTCCGCGAGCATTTCAGCTTCCTGAGAAGGGTTAATTACTGCATGCGGAGAAGGGTGGAGGCGGTTGCAAAAGCGTCCGGGGGAAGGGTGACCTTTGAGGAAGTTGGGCGAACCCTGCGGTCAAACCCCGACCTTTTCTCTTCAGATGGGGTCCATTTGACGTCGCCGGGAACACGGACCATCCTGGCCCGCATGGCGCAATACTTCGTTTCTATCGCGTCCCTTAGGTTCGCCCCGCGAAGTGTGCACTGCGTGACACAGGGCGAGAATGAGGAGAGTCAGTGAGTGCGAGAGCTCGAGTGGGTGTAGGAAGGCAAAAAAGCCACTGAGCAGGTGATACCTACCGACTCGGTCCGCTGAGCCGGCGGGGCTCCTATCTAAGTAAGCTCCTATTGTGTGAGCAGCACGGTGACCTGGCCAGTGTAAAGTTTAGCGGTGCGGTGGCGCGAATGTAATGTGTGCAGATGTGACGTATGTTATGTTTGTATGTTGTGCTTGTGTGTTATGTTTTGCCCGCCTTACTCGTTTCACCTGACTCGGCAGCCAATAATAGCCATTTTCGGATGGATCGGCTTGCAACGAGTAGTACAAATCAATACACTGCAATATATTGCAACCAATGTAACTTTTAAGGGGGAAAGGGGAGGTTTCCCCCATCAAAAATTTCTTCGGATGCTGAATCGGAGGAAGGCGAAAAACCCACAGCATTGAGCAGCTGGTGACCCCTGCCAACGCGAGTCGGTCCGCTGAGTTGGCGGAGTGAAGCCTTGGCTTTCTGTCGTGGGAAAACCAACAGCACTCATCAGGTGATCCCTGCCGACGCGAGTCGGTCCGCTGAGTTGGCGGGGTGAAGCCTTGGCTTTCTGTCGCGGACTAAACTAAACTGATGTAAAACCGACCATGCCACATGAGTCCTGACTCTGACCATAAGGCCATGTGGTATAATATATTACTCTTCACGCATCACCTTATCTTGTTTGTGGTGAGACGCCAGACAGTCGGTGATCGTCTGTATTGGACACCAGCCAAACGCACGCGAGCGCGACCTCTGTCCGGCTCCGACTGACGCGCCTCGCCAGTTTGTTTTTTGTTTTTGGGTTAGGCCCTTTCGGTCTGACGAGACCATTTCAGGGCCGGAAGGATGATAGGAATTGGGGGGGGGGAGACATTGGTCTGGGCAGACACCCTGTAGAGAGTCGCCGGGGCTGAGTCCGTCCGAAAGGACAGGCCGACCGGCGACCAGCCCCCCAAGCACTCTTTGCACCCGGCTACGGGGTGCGCTCCCTCGGGAGCAGCGGTGCCGGTGCCGCTCCAAGGGAGCAGCCCGCATGAGATAAAGTTGCCTGTCCAGCCCGGAGGAGAAGGAATTCTGTGTGTTGCTGAGGATAGAAGCACGGAACGGTGTCCTCGCCAGCGGCTGACCGGCGCTATATACCCTGGACCGGCGGCGGCGGGCGCCGGGCGCACACTAGCCCGGGGCATATTGTGGGCCGCCATAGGGGTGCAAACTCACGGCTCCATCACACCACCACATCTCCCCCCTTACGTCCCAACTGGCCCACAACAGCAATGACAAACGATAACACACGACTGGACAAACGCCATTCACATTTCCTCAATCAGCCAACGGACCGGCCTCCGAGCGACGGCGACATTCTTCAAGGCCCACACAACAGCGGTGGCTTCCAACTTGATTGCACCGTACAATGCAGTATGTATGCACCAAGATTCTTGCAGATATGCAGACCATGCACGATAACAGCATACAAATCAAGATACAAATTGATACGGACTGACTGCAGGACGCATACATTTTAATTTAGCAGCCAATGTTTACTTTGCGCATGCGCGTTCTCATCTACTCTGACGCCGTCCGCCATTTGCCGCCGCTAGAAGTTTCCGTGGATCGTCGATTTGAGCGATTGGCTGTCATTGAATGTGCTGTTAATCGTGATAACTATATCTAGCTTTGCTCTTGAGCACTGGACGCATTGCGGTTTTTAGCTTTCTACTTTCTGGACTACAATTCTGCATAGTGCACACTGCACCATGGCCGACATAGAACAGGGTGATGGAGATCATGATCACTCGGCTGATCCTGGAAACCATGAATCGACCGGCAAAGGCGATATTCATGAAGATCATTCAGAATCAGAAATGCACAATGGTGGACCAGGACATCACATGGATCAAATGGAAGATATGCATGGTGGTGGCCCTGACTTCGGAGGGCCAGACTTTGGCGGCCCCATGAGAGGGGGATTTTGGAGAGGACCGTGAGTTGAAATTGAAAATCCTTGAGCTTTGATGCTAGCAAGAAAATACACTGTCAATTTAGTAAATGTTCTGAAAAAGCCTGATTCAGTTTTAACGCATTGTGATTTATTTTTAATATTTTTGCATTATTTGATGCCCTGAATCCAAAAATAATACATGCCTCATAAATACAAGAAGAAAACAATTAAACCTGACCTAACCCTACCTACTTACCTACCAACCTACAACCTCTACAACCTCTACAACCTAACCTAGCCTACAACCTAAAATTTCTGATGTTTTTATTTGTATCAATAGCGTCACAATTGTAGATCAGACCTTATTTTGACAAATACCTACCTGACCTAACCTAACACATTCTATTACCTACAATTTCTGTTTTTTTTTCAACAGCATCATAGTTGTAGATCAGACCTTTTTTGAACAAATACTGTCAATTTTACTGAAGTGATATACGTAACAATTTTAAACCATGATGAGGAAAATGAATTTGAATTTGTCAGTAAGATTAGCTCACCCTCTACATGCCTCAAGTATTATGCTTAAAATATCATTGATTACATACAGCAATTATTTATTTCCATTGGGTGTGCACTTGCACTGGCTCATTTAAGGATAAATGTGTAGATAAAGTCTGATCTGATTAAAAAAAAACAATTTAACCTTACCTTACCTTACCTACTAACCTTCAACCTACACAACTACAACTACCTACCAACCTTCAACATACCAACTTACAACCTACAAACCTACTTCGCATAACTACTTTGGAATTTATCTTCGCACAATTGCTGATTTAAGAAGGGTGAGGGAGGGGGTTTGGGATTAAGGTACACCTTTCACATTGTTACAAATTGATGGCCCTGCATTTTAATGCCAATGTTCTGTTTATAATTTATAAAATAGGTAGGTGATTGTGTGGGTATCCCTTTATATCACAAGCATCACAGTTGCAATGTTATTATTTACTTGAAATTTGTCTGAATTATATGCTTTTGTATAGGTATTACATCCATTTTGATTATTTCCTACTGTTTATGCTAGAGCTAGTTACTAGATAATTACACATTTTGTTAGCATAGCATCAAAAATGTTACCAGCTAACAGTATGTATGATGTCAATTAAATAGATAAACCTACAACATTTCTGAATGTATTGTTCTTTTGTTGTAAAGTTGAATTCAACCAAGGCAATGAGCTGGGCTGCATGCAGCCTGCATCCCTCAATGGCAACCATACGTAGGGTGTACAAACTGCATGCACAAGTGCCAACCTATTAGTCATTCACAATCCTTCACATTGGTCATTGCTACAATTGATAAAGGTGTTTATTGTGCAGTGTGTGCTCTTCTTCTTGACAGATTTTTCGTGCCCTTGGTTTTAGATATCAGACCTCAATAATGATCCTCTTCATGAAGAATTTGTTGTCACCAGTCCTGTACTCTCTTCCCTCTACCATTTTTTTTTTTTTTTTTACTCTTAATAATTCATATGTTAGTAATCAGCTCATTTCAGCCGATTTTGTCATCTCTTGCAAAATTAATTGTTTAATATGTTTGTGACAAGTTTGAAGATAACCTCGCGCCCATACATAAAAGGAGCAAAAAATCCAAAACGTCATTAAGCTCAGTTATCTGACAGTCCCTCTCCCCCACAGGCGGCCTGGTGGCCCGCCTGGACCCCCATGGCGCGGGCCGCCGCCGCCCCGATTCCGTGGCCGCGGTGGTCCGCCCGGCCCGCCATGGAACGGTCCGCCGGGCCCGCGCGGTCCGTGGCGGGGCCCGCCTCCGCCACCGTTCTTCCGCGGTCCGCGGCCGCCGTTCCGGGGTCCGCCGCCGTTCGACCCTAACTGGGGCCCGCACCCGGGCATGATGGGTCCCGGTGGGCCGATGGTGAGTGGCGACGCCGGCCATGGTACTGCTCTGGTCCCCGGCACGCTAATTAAAAGTCTGTTTTTATTAAAAGTCTGCTTAATTAATTAAAGGTCTGTTCTTATTTCGTCCATTTATTCTCGGCTGCCGAGAGCTTATGCATATTGTTCAAAACAGCGCAGTGATAATTTTCGTAAATTAGTTGTTAATGAATGACTTACACGCTGGTTTTCTATACCTGTTGATATGTGGGCCGATTGTTGCAGCATCAGATGCCAGCTCGCAGTTTTCTTGAGCTGTTTGATGGCCGGCTTCCATGTGTTTGCTGCTGTTTTGCACGCACGTTACCCCTTGAGGCTCCGCCAACTGACCCTGCCCCGTGTGCCGCCGCCGCAGGGGCCATACCCGCCGGGCCCGCCGGGTATGGGCGGCCCGGGCATGGGCCCGCCGCCGGGGCACTGGGGCGGCCCGATGGGCCCTCCGTCCGGGCCGCCGCCGTTCTCGGGCCCGCCGCCGGGCCACCACTCTGCTCCGCCGCCACAGTTCGCCGGCGGAATGAACCTCGCCAACGTCTGGGTGGAGACCAAAAACGACGAGGGGAAGCTGTACTACTACAACGCCCAGTCGCGGGAGACCACGTGGACGCAGCCGGAGGGCGACGGTGTCCGCATCCTCACCCAGCAGGAGGTGGGTACCGCGGTGTGCGTCTGCCGCGGTGTCGACTGGTCCGCTATAATTTGTTCAGGGCATACTTTTATCATGGTTTCGGTTGTGACAACGACCTTGGGTTGGTAATGCCTTTTCATATACCTACCATCTTGCTATAGAGAGAGAGAGAGAGAGAGAGAGAGAGAGAGAGAGAGAGAGAGAGAGAGAGAGAGAGAGAGAGAGAGAGAGAGAGAGAGAGAGAGAGAGAGAGAGAGAGAGAGAGAGAGAGAGAGAGAGAGAGAGAGAGAGAGAGAGAGAGAGAGAGAGAGAGAGAGAGAGAGAGAGAGAGAGAGAGAGAGAGAGAGAGAGAGAGAGAGAGAGAGAGAGAGAGAGAGAGAGAGAGAGAGAGAGAGAGAGAGAGAGAGAGAGAGAGAGAGAGAGAGAGAGAGAGAGAGAGAGAGAGAGAGAGAGAGAGAGAGAGAGAGAGAGAGAGAGAGAGAGAGAGAGAGAGAGAGAGAGAGAGAGAGAGAGAGAGAGAGAGAGAGAGAGAGAGAGAGAGAGGAGAGAGAGAGAGAGAGAGAGAGAGAGAGAGAGAGAGAGAGAGAGAGAGAGAGAGAGAGAGAGAGAGAGAGAGAGAGAGAGAGAGAGAGAGAGAGAGAGAGGAGAGAGAGAGAGGAGAGAGAGAGAGAGAGAGAGAGAGAGAGAGAGAGAGAGAGAGAGAGAGAGAGAGAGAGAGAGAGAGAGAGAGAGAGAGAGAGAGAGAGAGAGAGAGAGAGAGAGGAGAGAGAGAGAGAGAGAGAGAGAGAGAGAGAGAGAGAGAGAGAGAGAGAGAGAGAGAGAGAGAGAGAGAGAGAGAGAGAGAGAGAGAGAGAGAGAGAGAGAGGAGAGAGAGAGAGAGAGAGAGAGAGAGAGAGAGAGAGAGAGAGAGAGAGAGAGAGAGAGAGAGAGAGAGAGAGAGAGAGAGAGAGAGAGAGAGAGAGAGAGAGAGAGAGAGAGAGAGAGAGAGAGAGAGAGAGAGAGAGAGAGAGAGAGAGAGAGAGAGAGAGAGAGAGAGAGAGAGAGAGAGAGAGAGAGAGAGAGAGAGAGAGAGAGAGAGAGAGAGAGAGAGAGAGAGAGAGAGAGAGAGAGGAGAGAGAGAGAGAGAGAGAGAGAGGAGAGAGAGAGAGAGAGAGAGAGAGAGAGAGAGAGAGAGAGAGAGAGAGAGAGAGAGAGAGAGAGAGAGAGAGAGAGAGAGAGAGAGAGAGAACTGTATTTGACAGACTCGAGGTCCAGTACCAGTCACATCACATCAAAATTGTACCACTGTACAGGGCAGAGCACCACGCTCTCCGAATCGATGAATAACATGCCAGATCACTTTCATATAGGGAGGATACGATTCGGTTGTCCGTCTGGCTCAGGCGAGTCATGAATCCATAGACGGCCTTTCGATACATCGCCATAAAGTTATCGATTCTTTCATTCACAAACATGTCGGACGCACTACAGAAACGATGATAACCAAAGAACATTCTAGCTGCATTGTTGAAACAAACAGTAAATTTCCTTGACACAGAAGAGCGATAAGAATGCCACAGATGCACACCATGTACATTAGAACAATACGTAGAGTATAAGTACCGTTTCACATTATATGAGCACATTGCAAATTTCCTGATCAGGGAGTTTGCCCGACAACAAAGAAGACGATACTGATATTGGATTTCCAGATCATCAGTTTTCTTGGGGCTGCTGGTGATATGGAAGCCAAGATATTTGTACTGATCAACATAAGCTAGAACATTTCCACAGAGCACAATATCAGGCAGGATCATATTTCGAAACAGTGGAGGCAGAATCGACATACACACTGATTTCTTGGTATTGAACACAATATCATGATTCCCTGCATAGTCAGCACAAATGTCAACCATTTTTTGCAGACCCTGTGGCGTAGGGGATAGGAGCACCATGTCATCCGCATAATATAGGTGGTTTATACTCCCCAGATAATGACATCCTACACCACTCAAGTCCAATTTTTCTGACAGCTGGTCGGTATAAGCATTAAACAGGTACGGAGAGAGTATCCCGCCTTGCCTTACGCCATTCGTCACAGAGAACTCCTCAGAGAGGGTTTTACCCCAAAGCACATGATACCTCTGTGAGTCTCGCCACCGAACGAGGAGCCTTACAACGCTATTATCCATTCCCCTACTCAACAGCTTATCAAATAGAGTCCAATGGTTCACGCGATCAAACGCCTTTCTAGCGTCCAGAAAACAGACAAAGACTGCACTCCTATTGCGCAAATAGTGGTCCACAATTTCTTTTAACGCATACACAGCCATATCGGTGGAGTGGCCCTCCTTAAATCCAAACTGATGATCGCTAGTGAGAAGACTTGCTTTACATCGAGTGAGTATGACCCGCTCCAGTATTTTAGAGCTCACCGTGGCCAAAGCTATTGGCCTATAGTTATCCTTATCAGTCAATTTGCCTGTCCGATCTTTCACAATAGGGCGAAGTATCACCTTCGACAAAGAAGGAGGCAAGACGCCATGTCTCACCATCATCGAGAAACATAACGATAGATGCGTAGCACATGGAACACCCGCAAACTTAAAATGTTCAGCAGATAGACTGTCACAACCTGGAGAGCGACCTGACGACAGCTCATGGATCGATTCTAAAACCTTAGGAACCGAGAACATATCAGCACCTTCACCATCATTACGAAGCTGATTCAGAACACCTTCTTTACAGTCATCGCCATCAACACTATTCAGAATATCAGCAAAGTGATCCTTCCACATGTTCGCTATATTTTTCTCTCCACTGACGCTTCCAATAGACTGGGCCAGTGGCGGATCAGCGTTAAGCTTACGAACTTCTTTCCAAAAAGTTGCTAAGTCGCGCGGGTTTTTAGCAAATTTATCAGCTAGTGATTTTGCTCGCAGCTCTTTCTCATTCTTAAGACAAAAACGAAGCGCATACTTGAATTGTGACCTAGCCATTCGCAACTGGCTGTAGATGTAGCCCTGACGGGGCTTTCCAACCAGGGACCAAAGGGAGTAAACATCACCGAACAAGGTGTGTTTCTCCTCCACAAACTCGGTCCAACCTGGGATTGTTCGCTTACAGCTACCATGCGCTCGTTTGGCCACAGTAGTAAGAGTAGCACTCTTAATAGCATCAATTATCGCTTCATAATAACTATTGATAGCCTCTCTCTGGGCTACACTACAGTCAGTGGCAGCACAGAATATAGCCTCAAACGGTACGTCAATATTAGACAATTGCTCCCTCGCAGCCATAGCAAAGTTGTTCAGACCAAGTTCGTCAACAGAAGACCAATCAACTACCCACCTAGGATCAGATTCAGCAGCCTCGTGTGAATCCGGGATAGGATCGGTGGTCATGATTTCCAGATCACAACACACTGGGAAGTGGTCAGAACTCATAATCGACACATCAACCCTAACAGCACGAACGAGAGAGTAAAGACTCTTTGTACAGACTATGTGGTCAATCCAAGATTCTGTGCAACTGCCATCATTAGTATGAGTGATTGAACTCTGGGGCAATAACAACACATCAGCAATGCGTAAGTCTGCCTCATGACAGAATGATTCAAGTTCAATTCCAAAGTCAGATTGCTTGATGATGTCAGCATTAAAGTCGCCTACAATGCAGACATTGGGTGAGTCAAAATCATCAATGATTCCTTTGAGCTTAGCTAGATAGTACACGTATTGATCAAAGTTTTGTCTCGAGTCATACGGAAGATAAACCCCAACGAGAAGCAGTTTGTGGCCACCTAAATTACATTCTAATCCAATAATTCTGTCGTCATCAAAGGAGATAGGTCTTACCCGCGGAGCCAGCTTACCCCTCCACAGGACGGCAACACCTCCATACGGCCTACCCAGAATTACACGGTCACACGGGTCAATGGATGAAGTGGCAAAAGACATGAAATCATTGTGAACATTATTCAAAAGGGTAAGTTCTTGAGGAAATAACCAGTGTTCCTGCAGGAATACAACATCCGAGATATCACACAACTTCTTGATTCCAACTGCATTACTATAGTTTCTATGCCCATTTAGTTTCCACTCATAGACGGAAGCCCGCAGTTTGTGTCTGCTGTGTCTATTGGCTAGGCTCTAGACCAGTCGGCGCGTTCGATGCCCGTGTCTCACGTCCGCCCGGCGCTGTGTCCCCAGGTGGAGCAGATGACTCAGTCCGTGGGCGGCCAGGCCGGCGCCCAGGCGGCCGCACGCGCCAAGACAGAGGGAGAGGCGGACGGCGCGGACGGAGAGAACAGCGAGGACTCGGCCAACAAGGGTACGGGGCCTTTGTCGGCTGTTTATTGGTCACAGTTCTTCCTTGTATTTGTGAAGTTGCTTCAAACTTAAAGTGATTTTACAGTCACAGATTCGCTTGAAATGGGTTGTGAAGTGACGTTTTAAAATGTAGATTCAGTGCCTAGATACAGCGGCGCTTGGTCACCAGGCTGTCCCAATCAGCCGATGTTTCTGCGTTGGTATGTCTGTACGTTCTGACGTTGTTTTCTGACGGTGTCTGCCCGTCTGTCCGCACAGACTCGGCCGGCGGTGGGGAGGCCGTTGCCGCGCCCGGCACCGGTGCTCCGGCCGGTCCGGGCGGCGCCGCTGGTGGCCAGGGGGTGGCGTCTGGGCCGCCGCCGTTCGCGGGCGGCCCGCCGGGCGCCGGAGGTGGCGGCGGCGGCGGTCCGTTCAACATGCCGCCGCCGTCCTGGGTGGGCGGCCCGTGGGGCGGCAGCCCGGCCGGCTGGGGAGGCCCCGGCGCCGGCGGGCCGCCCGCCGCCGCCCAAATGGCGCCGCCCTCCCAGCAGGTGATTCAGGGAGCGCCGTCTGTCGACAACAAGGAGGTGAGGCACGGGGAGACTACTCTGGTGCCAGTCAGAGCGGAGATGGACAGCTGCCGCTTATGAGTGCCAGAAACTGTCATGGGTAATGAGCTAGAATCTACTAGATCCTGTTGCAGGCTCGTTATCATCTCAGTTCACCCTTTCGTGTACTTAAGCGTAAAGCACCATTTTTAGAGGCGTTGAGCCGTCTAGTTCCTGGAATTAATCCGCTGGGGCTCTGGCACATCTTTGTGCTGGGCTTTTCCCCTCCGGGCCCCGTACCCGCTGCCACCCTGAAACCCCTCATTGACGTGTGACGGGTCCGATCGTCCGCAGCTGGACCCGGAGCTGGTGGCCAAGGCGGCCGAGTGGACCGAGCACACGGCGCCCGACGGACGCAAGTACTACTACAATGCCAAGCTGCAGCAGTCCGTCTGGGTGAAGCCGCAGGCCATCGCCGACCTGGAAGGTGAGTCTGCCGCAGCTGCCGCGTGCATAGCTGCGTATGGATGCGTATGTTATTTGGTAGTGAACTTTCAGGGGGGGGGGGGTCGTTTAGATATTATTTTGGTAGACTCTAACGAACTAGTTTGTTACATTCTGAGGCAATTCCAGTGAGACCACCTTAATCGTACTCGCGTGAATAATGTGTCAGGGGACTTGGCTTCAATGCAGGTCCTTATTTTCAAGATGGGGTTATTACTGCTCAGAGGCCCTTGTGACCCGTGTCGTGTCTGACCAATTACTGCCGCGCTGTGCCTTCCAGCCGCCCGGCTGGCCGCTCAGCAGCAGGTGGCCGCCGCCGCCGCCGCCGCCGTGGCTGCCGGCGAGATCAAAACCACTGAGCCGCTCGAGGTGAAGCCCGCCCCGGCCGCTGCCGCCCCCGCGGCGGCGGCAGCAGCAGAGGACGACCACGAGTCGGCCGATGACGGGATGGACGTGGATGACGACGAGTCGTCACAGTCGGCGCCGGAAACCAAGGAGGAGCCAGCGCCGGCCAAGCAGGAGGACAAGAGCCGTCCGGTCAGCTCCACGCCCGTGCCCGGCTCGCCCTGGTGAGTGCACCGCCCGCAGAGTACGCTGGATGGAGCGTGCGGGCTTAGCAGCGGGTTAAGGGAACTTAAAAGATATGATAGATGTCTTCAGTCCTACGGCATATTGCTTACCGTTCACACCATCCATTCAATCATCTAGGTATCCCGGTTTCGTGTTAGCTGTGCCTGGATTTTAGTCATTTTAGTCGTATAACAGCTCACCACGTCTTTTGTATCGTGTAGGTGCGTGGTGTGGACCGGGGACGGCCGGGTGTTCTTCTACAACCCGTCGACGCGCACATCCGTCTGGGAGCGTCCCGAGGAACTGAACGGCCGCACTGACGTCGACAAGATGCTGCAGCCGCCCAAACAGGAACCCGCGGAGAGCAAGGACGACGAGCCGCCCGCCAAAAAGGCCAAGGTCGAAGAGACCAAAAAAGGTAGGTCTCGAGAAGCGGACTCAACGAAGGGGCTAGTTCTGCTGAAATTACAGGGTGTCCCATAATTACCCGGACATTGTTAATTAGCGTATAAAATAAGGCAAACATGATTGCGCTTTTTTCTTTTTACCGTCCTATATAGTCAACTAGGGTGGCTGTGAAATAGCACATGCAATAGATACGCTTGTTACAAGATCAGCCGATAATGATGGAAAATGCCAGCCATTGCTGGTCTCAGTTGTTTTACGGGTATCCCGAAACTGGGTGTAGGTGTAGGCCTGTTTTCTTTGACCTCTTGCCGGAGGATAATACGATCATATAAGATAAACTTGACATCAAAGTGTTCCCAGGCCATAAGGTATTATCCCCCAAAACAAAAATTTCTGCCTACGCCACTTTTGCTGCGTTTTTTACATCTGGAGTGGAGAAGCTCCATGTCTGAACATTGTGCAACCTTTGGCTTCCAACAGATTTGGTTTCCAAAACAAACCCGTTCATGGCCAATTGCTTCACGGCATCCAATTTTCGCACTGGTAGAATATTACCGCAGACCGCAGTAGTACTCTGTGCTAACGGTTGTCTTTGGGCCATCATATCAAGCCCAATGAGTGCACGGTGGCTCAAAATGTCTCACAATTTGATTTTTGACGGGTGCCTGGCCGTCTCTGCTGTTGGGGCGTTGTAGCCATCGGACGTTCACAGTTCACACACGCCTTTTTCGGGCTGTTCAAATGACATAATACCTTCGTTAGACCACAAAGTGTGCTTCAATATACTGTTTTGTTGTATATGTTATGTTTTTGGGATGAATTGTAGTGATTTGCGCTGCTTTTCCCATAGTTTTCGAATATTTTTCTGGCGAAAGACCCCAAATTCCAAAATTTTGTCGAAGATAGTGGTGCAAAGTAGACTAATGTTTTGTAGATAATCCTGATCTATTGTTTAGCTAGTTTTTAGCTAGATCGGTGACGTTTGTTGTCTATGACAAGCAACCACTTGTTTGACAACTGGTGCTTGGCCCTTTTTGGCCGAGCCCAAGCTTGTCAATCAGGTTTATCTCTTGCTCTCTCTCGCTTCGTTAGCTGATATAATTGCGCTTTGCTCAATCCTAACTGCTTGCAGATGAGCTGCTGAAGCTCTCCAGCAAAAACCATGCCGAAAGTCCGTTTGCAAAGTTGAGAACGGGAGTTGATTCACCACCATCCCTCCTATGCCTCTTGGATCTTAGCAAATGTTTTGACGCCATTCCGCACACTCGGCTCCTTAACAAACTCCAGCAATATAACATTGATACATCCTGGTTTTCTTCGTACCTCCATGGTCACACCCAGTCAGTCTCTATCTCCTCTCCTTCCGGCACCAGAGTGGTCTCGAATCCCCTTCCTATCACCACGGGAGTGTTCCAGGGATCCGTCCTTGGTCCTCTCCTATTCACCATCTTCTCCAACGACCTCAGCCTACACGCGCCGGACGCCCATGTGACCCAGTACGCTGACGACACCCAAATCCTGATGTCCGATGTCAAAGCCAATCTTCCTGACCTCATCCAACGCATGGAATCTACCCTTTCCGCTTTGTCTGCTTGGTTCCATGCCCATGGTTTAAAATTCAACGCATCCAAAACTGAAATCCTCCTCCTCGGCACCCGTCAGAACACCCGTAACCTCCCCCCTGTCAGCGTACGGGTCGGTGGCGGGACCGTCCAGGAGAGCCGGACAGTTAAAAACCTAGGCGTGCTATTTGACCGTCACTTGAATTGGGACGCACACGTCAGTGACGTGGTTCGCCACTGTACCGGCCTCCTGATCGGTCTCCGCCACTTGAGGCATTTCCTCCCGCAGCACGCACTGAAAACTATTGTTGAGGGGTTGGTCATCTCGCGCGTGAGATACTGCATATCCGTTTACGGAAACTGTTCTGCCGACAACTGTACCAGACTTCTCAAAATTATTAACTTCGCTACAAGAGTTATTACCGGCCTCAAAAAGTACGACCACGTGTCTCGCGCGCGGGATGACCAGCACCTCACATCGGCCTCTGACATGTACCGGGTCGCGGCGGTGACCGTCGCGCGCGGTGCCACTGCGCGCGGTGAGCCGACCGTCCTCGCCTCGCTGTTCACCACGAACGCGGGGTCGCGGGCCAGTGGTGACCGCACCACCCGGAACGACCGCCGCCTACGGCCACCGGTTACACGCACTGCGGCTGGGCAGCGTGCCTTTTCATACCAAGCGACCGCGCTTTTAAACCAGCTGCCAGCTGCCCTTTTAGACCTCGATCCCGGCAGTTTCAAGAGAGCAGTGAAGGCGTTCTTCTGATGGACTGACGAGTGGCTGTGATTGACGGAAGTGTGGTTGCATATGGAGTGTGTGTGTCTGTGTGCGTGGCGAGTGTCTGGTATATGTATAGGTGTGTGATTTGACTTTTTATTGTCTTTTACCCTGACGTATGTTTTTTTTTTACTCGCCATGACTTTAGACACGGAATAGCCACAGTGTATGTGGAGTGTCTGCCTACGTCAATACATGGTTGCCTATTAGTGGCTTAAGCTGAAAACGGAAAAGGACTACTCTTAGTTACTTGACTCTGGATAATAATAGATTCGAGTCGTTACCGGCCGCCAAAAGCACACAGTCCCCAATCTCGATAGCTAAGGGATATCTTATAAAAGTATGATGCTTGAATATCATTAGAAGCGAGCGCAGTCGTACTTTTAGCCAGAAAATAAATGTCCGGGGAATTCTGGGACACCCTGTAGATGTGGTTGGACGTGACGTAACTCGTGTAAATGTTTTTTTATTATAATTGGGGTTTATTTCTTGATTGTTATCTTGAAAGAAGGTTAAGACTTGACTGCTGAAGTGACCTATTTGAATGGCTCATGCCATTCAAACGTTGTGTGATGTGTTGACTTACTTGACTTTGAGCTAAAGTCACCCTGGTATTTTTCTGGCAACATTTTTTTATGAAACGAAGACATCACCGGATATGTTGTACCATGTAGACCAGATATTGTGCTGAACGGCGCCCCACCGTCCCCTAAGTGACCGTTCCTCCTACCGTGCGTGCCCGGCAGAAGTGAAGGAGGAGGCGCCCAAGAAGATCGACGTCGGGAAGGAAGCGGCTATCGAGGCGGAGGTGCGGGCCGCCCGTGAGCGGGCCATCGTGCCGCTCGAGATCCGCATGAAGCAGTTCAGGGACATGCTCGCCGAGAAGGAGGTAGGTGTCGATGGCAGGGCGGCTCGAAACGCCGCCAATGCTGGGCCCTAATGACAAAACGGCTCAGCGGTGGAGTTTTCTATGATTGAATTGATGTGATCATCCTAACTCAGTTCCATTTGCGATCAGGCGCTCTCAACTGAATCTCAGTGTCAACTTAGTCATGCGTGCTTCGCTAACTGCTATGTCCCTCGTATGTCGCCTGCGTGCTGCGAGTCAAGACTTTTGGCTCCAACCGACCGCTCCTCGTCCCTTCTGCAGGTGTCAGCGTTCAGCACGTGGGAGAAGGAGCTGCACAAGATCGTGTTCGACCCGCGCTACCTGCTGCTCACCTCCCGCGAGCGGAAGCAGGTGTTCGACAAGTACGTCAAGGAGCGCGCAGAGGAGGAGCGACGCGAGAAGAGGAACAAGATGCGCGAGACAAAGGAGGAGTTCCGCCGACTGCTGGCGGACGCCGACCTCAACGGAAAGTGAGTCGGGCAGGCGCGGCGCGAATCCAACCTGGCGTCACTTTACTGAAGCTGTGTGGGATAGCGTGTCACCCAGTGTAGTGTGGATACTGCTAGCTAAGATGAGTTCTTGATAACAAAAGCAGGCTCTGTAATTATTTTATAGCGATAATGTTTGAGCTTCAAAACGTGGAGTTTGCTAGTTTAAAGGTAGTGTGCCAGCTTTCTTGGACCGTATGGAGTTAATGGCCCAGATAAGGAGAACCGGATTTTTAGAACTTATCCATACCTTCAAAACTCATGGAAACGTCTTAAATTCTTCAAATTTTGAGTACCCCAGTGCGAAATTCGCCCCGACGGGTTGTCGGTCGTACCCCAACCACATTTCACACCACTATGAACAATAAATGCACACACTGAAATCGCTATTACCGATATGCTCATCCAATCAAGTTTCGATAAACCCGTTCATCATCAGCTCCTGCGGTTTCGAACACGCCTGTTAGGTGGTGCGGTAGACCACGCCCAAAGCCAGGGCCCCGGTAACGTGAGGTAGCCGAGTCAGGGCAGCGTGCGCTGACCCAAGCCGGAGCCGCGCGTCCTCCCGGTGTCATGTGATAGCCCGGGGCTGCCCGCGGGGATGCGGTAGACCGCGCCCAAAGCTGCGGCCCCGTCTTGGGTCAGCGCACGCTGCCCCGACACGGCTACCTCACGTTACCGGGGCCCTGGCTTTGGGCGCGGCTTCTGCTCATACTTTGTGGTGCGGTGGTGGTGCGTCGGGCTGCGCGCTCTGACTTCGGCCAAGAAAAATGCGTCAGCTGATCATTGTCATTTCTGCCACTTGCGTGTAGTGAAATGGGGTCATAACTTATAAGACGGCTTTTTCATATCAATTATTTTACATAAAATCATATTTCAAACCATAAATAATGTTCGACAGCCAAATAAAAGAAACAATACCAATACAGGCTTACAGTTTAAGACTCGACATTGTGTTGTCTACGATTAGACAGCTGATAACTCATTCCCGTACGTCGTATGGTCGTAACACTACAATGACCTTTGCTTATTGTCACAAGTGCGCCGCATTCGCGATTGTTGCCCGACGCCTGTTTGCAGGTGAGCGGCCCACTACAGTTGTTATACATATCTAAAAACCGATAAACTTTTAGGCGAAAAAGGCACTATTCCAGGCCCATTTTTGATTTTTTTGCGATATTAGGTAAAAACAGAAGCTTCTTATCCTAGGAAAAATAAAATGGGAAATCTTTCAAAGGTGGCATACTACCACAGGGGAGCAATGCCGCTTCAACCCTATTGGCCGTAGTGTCTAACGGTGGCGGCCATATTGCGCAGACCAGAAACCGGCTGCCGCCTGTGTTGAGGAATAGGGAATTCGGGACCTCGATTTACGTTTGCGGCCGCCGTATCCGTTACGTTCAAGTTACGTAGATACGGAACCCGGCATCTTACGCAGAATTGAGTGGGGAACACGATCGTATCTTCAGAATTCCTCAAATTCACTCGCCTGACCTACATTTGCCCCGGCCGAGGGGGTTGCTTGAACCCACCTCGCTAATGCACCGCTAATTAAACTTGAATTAAGCGGTAAAGTGGTCGTATGCGGCAAAGTATAATGCAGAGTGACTGGTAGGAACCCGCTGTAAGGGTCTCAGGTCAACCGGTGACCTCTGAGGTCAGGTCAAGTGATCTAAGGCACGGGTTCGGTTTTTGGTAAATAACTTCGCCAAAAATGGCCGTAGAGCCGCGATTTTGGCATCATCGTGTTCATCTGGCTCAGGCGCATCGAGTGATATACTTTTTGTTCGGGTCAGGTCAACTTAGGGTGTTGACCTCAGGTCAAGGTCAGGTCAGCACCGCCAGGTCACGAAGTTGGTCGAAAGAGGTCATGTCGCATATCATTCGATTCGGCAGGTCTTCCTGAGTCCATTGGTGGCTTTCTCGACTCGCTAGCTCAATTTGATCGGGAGTTATTGAAGAAAAATGGTGACCCTTGTGACGTCACGAATGACGTCACGCAAGGGCAACAATGCAAATATGAAGCATAGAACCTTGCAAAGAGTTCATGAAATCATGATTTTATATGCTTGAGATAGTTTCAGATCATTCTCGGCGCAAAAATAACAATTTTCATATTTCCCCATTGACTTATAAGGGTTTAACGTATTAGTTCCTTATAGCTGATGATTTTTTAGGATTTCATCTTGTTCTCCACTCAATTCTGCGTAAGATGCCGGGTTCCGTGTCCACATAGCTTGAGCGTAACGGATGCAGCGACCGCAAACGTAAATCGAGGTCCCGAATTCCCTATTCCCCAGCACAGGCGGCGGCCGCGTTCTGGTCTGCGCAACATGGCGGCACCGTTGGACACCATTTGGCGGCCGATGCGCATTCCACAATACAGAGTTCAGTGCACACTACCTTTAAAAATTGTATCACAGTTGTATGCGTCACATCGATTTTGATTGCATCAAAAAGTCTGCAGTGTTTCCCACATTCCTAAATGTTTCAGCCTCATTTTTTAATCCCCTACCGTTCGCTCGTTCTCGCCAGGTCTTCGTTCAGCGAGTTCGCTCAAAAGTACGGTAAGGACGAGCGGTTCCGCGGCGTGGAGAAGATGCGGGAGCGCGAGAGTCTCTTCAACGAGCACCTGCTGGACATCCGGCGGAAGGAGAAGGAGGAGCGGGCCGCCCGACGCGAACAGGTACGGACCGCGACGCCGGCCGGCGGCGGGACCAGTAACGTAACGTAACGGGACGGCCTCGGCGCCACATCGGGCTTGAACAGCATTCTGTGGGACTGGGAATGGCGGTAACGTAATTTGTAATTCGTGGTCGAGTAACTAGCTGTGATTCTGATTAGTGAGAGCCATTAAGGGAGGGTGTTGAAAATGTACGTTTTGATGCTGTGCGTTTTATTAGTTTTGTCGTTCTTTTTTATAACCCAATGACCACTGATTATCACAGGGCAGATGCATTTTATTTATTTGTAATGTAATATAGCTGTAAAAGCAAGTTGCAAAGGCTGCTATATTCTGATAGGCAGTTTTCTTATAGCGAGATGCATGATATTCCTTTTTTCTTTTGTTGATAAACATCCATGTGTAATCGTTCTTAATTTGCAAATGGATTTTTTCGAACTATATACTTAAACATTTAATTCCTTAGATATAAATATCGGTATATTCTTAGTCGTTTTACAGGATTTGATTTAAAAACATTCATACGTCCCGCTATTATCGTGGAACTACAATAGATGGAACGACAGAATTATGCTTGCACTGTTTCTTTTCAGCTTCGTGGTGGTTCGCATGTTTTTATTGTTCTCAAAGTTAGACAGATACTTTGTGATGTGATTATATAGCATTATTAATGACACAATAACATAACTATCATTACCTAATACAAAATCAATTCTCCTTGATCCATAGCGAAGCTTTCCTTGTATTTCGCCCGATTAAAAGATGTAGGCTTACGTTCTTGTATTCGAGGTCATCTTCGTATTTGTGTTTGTTTGTTGACGTCTTTTTCAGGTCATTGTTTACAGCGTGCATTGTGTGCCCACAGCGAAATGCTCGTTCTATTGTATGCTATCAACGCTTCCTTGGGTCATACCCTGTTTTCACTTAACCGCGTTGTGGTCGTTCTAAGTTAAACAGCGCTAGGAATATGACTGGTATTCCTAGTTCTGCGTATTTCATTTGACCCTACCATGTCCGTGCCCTGCTCGGGCTTGCCTCGCTGATCGGTACAGACTAGTGTGAGGGCAGTTGCACTCTGCCTTGAGCGGTCGGCCGCCGTCAGCTCAGTGCCGCGTGGCCAGCACCTCTGACCGCCTCCTTTCAGCGCGCCAGACCCGGCGTGACTCGACGCCTGCCCGCCGGCTGACTGAAAAGAAAACCCAGGCAGAACTGACCCAAGCATCAAGCGAGCTAACGTAACGTAACGCTGCGCCGGCCCATAGGTGATTGTCTATCTATATTTCTCCTTTTTAAGTGTGATACAGGCCGGCTCCCTTGAGATTAAGGTAGGACAGAGGCATGATTAATATTGTGCGCTCAGCTGCAACTGGGAGTGGTTAGGTGGGGAGCCGGCCGCTTTCCCTTTGCGAGTCAATAATTTCAGTGCAGCTTTATTTGAACCGTCACTTACGTGCTACCTGACACCTCACAGTAATGTCTACGATGTATCGAGGAATCGTGCAATTTTTACAGGCTATTTGTTTGATCAAACTCATCACTTTCCTCTCACTGAAGCATGCCGTATTTCAGTTGTCATCATTTTCTGCAACATCAGACAATTTTAACTTAACAGTATAGTGACAATCAGTACATTCGTAGACTTATATTCAATTTAACTCAAAACTGACATTCAGTAACGCTCTAAACATCAATTTCTAAAGGTAACGTAAGAAGCCATTCAGTTAAATGATTGATGTTGTAATCCGTGGACTGCGTTTTGACAGAGCTGAGTTGGCGCGGCGCACTGGCGCGCCGCTAGCGTCGCACTGGACTGCTGCGCGCTCGCTGTTTGTTGCCATTTCCTGTGAGCTTCGCTAGAGGAGTCGGCTCGCGCCAAGGTGACCGTGTCTCCCAGGGCGGCGGCGGTGACGGCGGCCAGCGGCCAGCGAAGGAACGGTGGCCGGCCGCCCGGCGGGGACGGGGTCAGGCCGATAGCTCGAGCGGTGGCCGCGGAAGAACTTTGTCCGGAGTGGTGTCAGGAGTCTATTTATTAGAAATTAATTACTGTCTTTAGTCGAAAAACTTTGACAGTTTCAATTTCTAAAAAATCATAACCTTGCCGCGTGAATCCTCAACTTGTTTCAATCTGTTCAATGTTTCGGCAGTTTGGTAACGTTCAGCCGTTTCGTGGATTAGTTGTGGGGTGTTGCCGCCCACCCAGCCGCCGTCGACCTGAATCTGAACCCTGCCGGGCGGGCCGCCCGCCATAGCTGCCGAGTGTCGGGCCGTGTGTGAGGCCAGGTACCGGCTCCCAGGTCCCACTTACCGCCAGGCAGCCTTTCGTTCGACTCACACCTTCAGCTTCTGGGTCAAATATAGGGGCTGCTTTCACGACTTGATGAGGACGTGTGATCGCCCTCTAAATTAAACTTGTAACTTCTTTATGTTTCACTTTCACGTCAGCCAGTTAAATTCAGATAAAAGCAGGATCTTCAGGAAGAAGTTGTAAATATTGATGCTTTACCGTTTTTCAAACGTTTATGTACGTTAAATGTTGTTTGTATTTCATGCTAGTCAGGCTGAGGACTGAGGAGTTAATGCGCTTAGCTGTTGGTACTTTCAAGCTAATTGGTTCATAAGGAATGAAGGCTGCTTGGTGGTGAGGGGCCATTTTGGGACCAGTGGTACCTGGTCTCAATGTCTCAGCTGGTTCGCTAAATGACCCCAAGTTGCTACTACAGTGAGTTGCTGCAGCATAACAATCAACATTCTTCACTAGATGGTATTACATTGTAGGTTTCCATTGATCTGAAGTTGGCATTAGATGTTCTAACTAACATAAATGACTATAGAGCCGTTATATTACCTGTTTCCTGTTCGAGTGAGTCAGGTAGCCTGTGGGGGAGGTAGCCTGTGATGCATTTGTCAATAAAGTTTGTAGTCAGTCGAACCGCTCGACGTATTTCGCGTTTGTGTGTCCATGCAAAGAAAAACAATAACGCCGCGTTTGGAATGATACATGTACTTAAATCGATCGATATTTACTCATTAACGTTTAAATAAACGCGCCTTTTTATCGAATAACAATGTCCTGCGTTTTGACACGCGCTGAACCATTCCGTTTGTCCTCTGACTGGTAGGCACTGTGACGTTTTCCCTCCCACTGACACCCAACAGCAGCACCTGACTAGTCGGCTGTCCGGCGCAGAGTCTGAGCTGCCGGGCGCCCCAGTCTCTCTGACGTGCCTCTCACCCCCCAGGGCAGCAGCCGAGGACGTCCCCCTCCCCTCCCCAGCCCACGCGTCCCTCCGCCGACCGCGCCTGACCGGTCACTCCGCCGCCAGGTCAAAAAAGACTTCTTCGCGATGTTGCGCGAGGACAAAACGATCGACCACCACGCGCACTGGTCGGACGTTAAGAAGCGGCTGGACACGGACTCTCGGTACCGCGCCGTGGAGTCTTCTAGTCAACGTGAGGACTGGTTCCGTGACCACATACACGACCTCAAAGAGGAGCGTCGCCGCGAGAAACGCAAGGAGAAGGAGAAGAAAAAGAAGCGCAGCCGCAGTCGCAGCAAGGAGCGACGCAGCAAGAGCCGCGAGGCGAAGAAGGAGAACGGAGACTCGCGCGAGAGCGAGGAGAGGAAGTCCGACGCCGAGAGCAAGACCCGCGAGGACGGCGAGAAAACGGACGAGGTGAGACTGACTGGACGGACGACGGGTGGGGCCGCCGCGGAATGGATACATTGGTTAGTCTCTTGAGTGAGCAACAATGTGAAAGTACCTGTAAATAAGCTAAGTAGGAAGAATGATACCGAAAAATAAGGCTTTAGGAGTCGGAGATGCGTACATTTCCTTAGCTATACAATCCAGTCGCATGACATTTTGAGCCAAAATCGTCTTTTTCTTTTGGTATATAGTAGTTTGCAGACTGGATGGTCTATATCGCTCCTGTTCAAGATATCGTCACAATTGTCTTTCCTGACGTGTTGAGTCCCTGCTGTGACGCTGTCTCTCCCATGACCGGCGTGCCTTCCCCTGCAGGACTCTGAGGAGGAGGAGGAGCGCCGGAAGAAGGAGACCGAGGAGCGCGAGAAGCAGGAGCGCGTGCAGGCCTCGCTGCGCGAGCGAGAGCGAGAGGTGCAGCGCACGCTGGCAGAGCACCTCCGCGATCGGGACAAGGTTAGTTCTGTGGGAGTGACGACGGGAGTAGGCCTGAGTGGCGGCAAATAGTGGTCATCGGAGAGTCCCCTTTATGGCAGATAACGGCGGCATAAGAGGCCGGGGTTCTTTGGTACGGTATAGGGTTAGAGAAACATGCATTATCCCCACGACTAAGCAGCTAGATGATGCGATAATGTGTTGGACATCTGGCTGTGCGTCCACTCTTCGCGATTCCTGGCGTACGAACACTAGTATAGCCACTGACTTGGCGCTTATTCTTTCCACCTTGTCAACTCACGCCTGCCATGACGCAATCCTTACCGTTTCATCCCACCTGTCGCTGAGGCTGATCCGTGCCGCCTGGACCCCTCCGCTGACCCGCACCGTCTCCGCCCGTCCTGCCCGCAGGAGCGTGAGCAGCACAAGCACGCCGAGTCCGTGCAGCACATGCTGGCCGTGCTGGCCGACCTGGTGCGAACCACCGACATCACCTGGCGAGAGGCCAAGAAGGTTCTCAAGAAGGACCACCGCTGGCAGCTGCTCGACGGCCTCGACAAAGAGCAGAAGGAGAAACTGTTCGAACAGCATGTGGAACAGCTGTCCAAGAAGAAAAAGGAAAAGTTCAGGTGAGTGTGGTGTATGCGTGAGGGCTTTGCTGAATAGTAAAAGGGACGCTATGAACTTGTATGCTTTTCCTTGCGTGACATAATTATGCTCTGTCGTTCATCGCCACAGTATTTCAGTGGATTCAGGCGTCGGCGGCGGAAGATCTGTTGCCATATATGACAGAATATGGTAATGTTTTCACAGGGAGTTGCTGGACGAGATGAACGTGGATCTCACCTCGTCATGGAAGGAAGTTAAGAAGATGATCAAGGACGACGTGCGGTATTCCAAGTTCTCGTCCAGCGATAGGGTACGGATTTCGCATAATCATCCCAGTTTTGTGTCAGGTTCATAATGAGATTGGCACACAATGTGTATTTGCCGGCTGCCAATTTTTCTTACTGAGTATTACATTTCAGATAACTTCTTTCGATATGCTCATTGCTCGCAAGTAATCTTCACTATCATTTACGCTTTTAAGGCGGCCGCACACTAGGCCATTCGGCGGGCGACATTCCGCAAAAACGCAATTCCGTGGCGACATTACGCTTTCGTGGACGCCGAATCAGCTGCCGAAACGACAAAATTATCAGCCGACCGCTGCCAGCTAGCTGTCCGCGGGTAGAGTGCGCATGCGCGCGAACAGCCGCGGAGTTGCGGAAAAAAGCTGGACCGGTTTAGCTTTTTCCGCGGCGACGCCGCGGACACCCGAAATTGTGGAACTTGAAACTCACCAACTATTGATGGAGCAGCCGAGAAATAGACTTCACTTGATAAAAAATCGTAGCGGCACTTCTTTCCCCATATTAAATGGTTTTTATACACTTCATTGGTTATTCCAATAATGGGTTACTATGTGCCTCTCCACAATTGTCTTTAGGTTTCTTGCATTTGTCGACAAACACGGTTGTTAACATTAATCACGAGCTTTATTTTTTTGCAACTTCCTCCAGAAATTATGTCAAATTAATAGATACTCAAAACTTTATTGTACAGAAATATAGCATAATCGCATTAAATAAGCAAATATTGTATTTGCTTAAATGTATTTAGTTTGCATTCGTTTATATTTATCATAAAATGTTTCACATAAAGTTCCTGAAAATACTAAGTAGAAAATCGCACCGCCGAATGGTCCTGTAAACTGCTGAAAACAAGCGGAAAGCCGCTGTAGGAATGTCGCCCGCGACATTCCGCTTTTGCGGAATCTCGCCCGCCGAATGGCCCAGTGTGCGGCCGCCTTTAGTCGCCTTCCTCGTCTGCTTTTTCATGTATATTTTGTCCGCGTATTCGTTGTATTGTCCGTATTCTCTCTATGTTGACCGAAAGCTGACTCTATCTCTGTTTCCGGCAGAAATGTGAGCGCGAGTACCGCGAGTTCATCAAAGACAAACTGGTCGTGGCCAAGAGCGAGTTCCGTGAGCTGCTCAAGGAGACCAAAATCATCACACACGAGTCGCTCAAGAAGATCACCGACAACGACCAGCACATGAAGGACATCCTGGAGGTGCTGCGCAAGGACAAGCGGTACCTCCAGCTGGACGATATTGCCGAGGAGCGCGAGCAGATCATAGTTGCCCACCTGGAGGAGCTGGACAAGCGCGGTCCGCCGCCGCCACCCACCGCCAGTGAGCCTTCACGCCGGCTCGTCAAGTAGCCTCTGCGCGGGTGGTGTGAATATGCTACGACTATCCGGCAGGGAGGGCCTGGTGCGCCCGGCGCCGAGTGCTGAGTGAATTCGGTGGGACGCGGCCGTGGCGCGCGGCAATGATAGTGCTCGGCGGTGTGCCACGGTGGCAGGCGGTAACCGACCCTGCCTGTCGGCGGGCACGGGCCCGGCGCCCGGCCGTGTCCAGTGGTCTAGTGACGGGTCATGAGTTGGGCCCGCTTTTATCCTGCGTTATTGACTAACCGTGATTGGATTTGTTTGCTGACGATTGGCTATCCCCCGTCATTGGGGCTCACTTGCAAACAAGTCACGGTATTATTCGAACGATCACTTGTCCCGACATCCCCACGCCTGAAAATCTGCAATTGCCATCGGGGAAGTGTGCTGCACGTGAACGAATACACTGTCTATGAGTGAATCTGTGTCTGGCTCTCGATTTCCTGACTAAGATATGGGCTACTATGTTTATATTTGGAGTCTGACGGAATGGCGGCGGCGACTGGGAATCTGGGGCCTGGCGCCCGGCCAGACGTTCCTACGTCGGAGGCTGGGGTGCCGACTGGGGAGGGGAAGGGTCAGGGGACGTCTCGGGTTGTTGCCAGGCGGCCAGATGTCCGGTGTTCGGTGACAGACGCCAGACCAGGGGAGCTTTCCGGTCATGGCCGGTGAGGGGAAGGGAACGCAGTTCTTGAGGGATGCAAATTACCACATTCGGTAATATGTGGGAAATGATGCGGGCAATATGCTGTAAGACATCAATAGGTTTATGGAATCGTTATGAGAAGAACATCAAAGCGTAAAACAAAACAACTACTGTTCCAAGTTCTTCAGTCTGTTGATTTTGCGATTCCGCGACGGCGGCGAGGGAAGATCGAAGATCTCTCGACGTTTGTTTACATTACAGGAGCAAGGCCACAAGAACGATACAAAGCTATGATGACGTCACATACAAATTATTTCGTATTCTAGTGGGTTTCAATATCTAAACCGTATAATTTGGATATTTTCACGACAGAGCTAGCTCATGTTTTGTTTTTAAACAATAACAGATCAGTATTTTTCAAATGACTGCATTTTTATCTACTTCAATTTTATTATGCGTCACTAAAAACACCCTTGCTCCACCTGCCATCTATCACAAATGCTACGCCTCCCGAGAAGCACGAGGCAGCCGAGCGAGCCGAGCCCCCTCTTCGTCGCCCGTTTCCGCCCCCTTTTGGCCTCGTGCCCGCAGTCGTGTGAGATCTCTTGGCACCTGTCCCTGACCCGACCGGCTGCAGTCTCAAATCATGGCCGCTCTAGTTCTTTCAGTGGGTGGACGCCAGTCTTTCAGGTCTCTTGGCTTGTGTGGCCGGATTTTCTACAGGAATATGAGCTCATCGTATCTGGTGGATAACAAGGACGCCAAATACGAATTTTTGAGGGATCTTGGCCTCCAGAGTGTCAACGATGGTGTCTTCAATGGAAAATGGGGTGGACGTGGTGAGGTAGGTTGTCTTCTTTTTGTTTTGGGGTGTTCCACGACAAATCGACAAATAAAAAATTAAATTTGCACCCTCATATTTTATTCTTCGTTGAAAACTGGTGTAAGGGGTTGTGATGGGCGGGGAAGCCAGCTGTGGCAAGGATTTTTTTCTTCGAACAACGGTTTCCGAGATATAGCCTCGGGCAATTCCTGGAGTTCGCGCTGCAGCTCTATGTTTGGCGGCCTATAACTCAGAAACTATTGGTTTATTACGATAAAAACTTTATATGGTTCAACACACAATCAACCAACAAACATTTTGGCTATCTCGGATTTTCAATTTTTGAAAATTTTGATCACGTGACCTTTTGTCCTATTTTTCGAAGAGTGACCTTGATATTTTCCCCTCTGAAAGTTGCAATTTTGTCTGATGATGATTAAAGCCTTATCAAGTGTCATACATATGCGATAATAAAAAAAGTGGTTATCGCCCTGCGTTGACCTCAGGTCAGGTCATTTCTATGACCTGTCCATTATTACGAGCGGGAGCGACAGCGAGATCTCGAGAATAAAGCAAGATAGCGACAAGCGGTAAACGGTAAAGGGTACACACGGATAAGGTCTATAATTTTTACTGAGGTCATTTTCAGGTCAGGTCAAAGATGACGTCACAGGAGCTAAAAGGAAGTCAAAATAGCGGCACTTTACATATATATGACGTTTTTCTCGAATAACTTTCAAGGTATCCCAGCTAGGAACAAACTAATAGCACCATCGTGATCCTCTCGTCGATCCGCATCGAAACATATGTATTTTGACCTCGAAAGGTCGAAAGGTCAAAAGTTGACCTTAGGTCACGTGATCTAAGGTCAACTTTTGACCTTTCGACCTTTCGAGGTCAACATACATATGTTTCGATGCAGATCGACGAGAGGATCACGATGGTGCTATTAGTTTGTTCCTAGGTGGGATACCTTGAAAGTTATTCGAGAAAAGCTTCATATATATGTATAGTGCCGCTATTTTGACTTCCTTTTAGCTCCTGTGACGTCATCTTTGACCTGACCTGAAAATGACCTCAGTAAAAATTATAGACCTTATCCGTATGTACCCTTTACCGTTCACCGCTTGTCGCTATCTTGCTTTATTCTCGAGATCTCGCTGTCGCTCCCGCTCGTAATAATGGACAGGTCATAAAAATGACCTGACCTGAGGTCAACGCAGGGCGATAACCACTTTTTTTATTATCGCATATGAATGACAATTGATAAGGCTTTAATCGTCATCAGACAACATTGCAACTTTCAGTGGGGAAAATATCAAGGTCACTCTTCGAAAAATAGGACAAAAGGTCACGTGATCAAAATTTTCAAAAATTGAAAATCCGAGATAGCTAAAATGTTTGTTGGTTGATTGTGAGTTGAATCATATAAAGTTTTTATCGTAAAAAACCAATAGTTTCTGAGTTATAGGCCGCCAAACATAGGACTGCAGCGCGAAATCCAGGAATTGCCCGAGGCTATATCTCGGAAACCGTTGTTCGAAGAAAAAAATCCTTGCCACAGCTGGCTTCCCCGCCCATCACAACCCATTAGACCAATTTTAAGCAAAAAATAAAATATGAGGGTGCAGGGCACTCGTCGATTTGTCGTGGAACGCCCCTTTTGTTATTCTAGGATAATATTGTTATGCCCTGTGCTTATACAATTTATGTCAGTCTTTGTACCCAGTCTTTGGAAGCCCACACGGATCCCTGAGGATCCCACTGGCACTGCAGGCCTCTGAGATCCGTTTTTGGCTCCAAAGGGCTTTCACTAATCTTTGTGGATGGACCCTGCCACTTGCCAGCATCCATGGGCTCATACCAGGACATATTTCAACTTGTTTTACGTGTCCTAAAGTTGACCTTGGGGCTCATGGCTACGACAGGGTCAGGGAACTGATAGCATAATTGTACATATATGCAATTAGTAATAGAAGGATTTATGGATGTCCTCCTGTTACATATATCCCAACAAATAGGTATTCAGTCTGCTGGCAAGCTGTTGGGCACAGGGCAGGGCATAGAGCAGGGCACATATCAGGATATAGGGTGGGGCACATGTCAGAGCACAGGGCAGGGATTGGCAGGGGCACAGGGCAGGACAAGAGGGAACAGGGTAGGGCACAGGACAGGACAGAGAGGGCAGATGCCAAAGGGCAGGGCAGAGAGCAGGGCACAGGACAGGGTATAGGTAAGGGCACATGGCAGGTCATGGGAACAGGGTGGGCACATGTGCCCTGCAGGGCATGCATATTTCAGGGGCACAGGAGACACAAGGCATGGCACAGAGCAGGGTATAGGACACAGTGCAGGACACAAGACAGGGCACAGGATGGGGAACAGGGCAGGACACAGGATTAGGAACAGGGCAAGACAGAGGACATGGCAGAGAACAGGGTGCAGGGTAGGGAACAGGATAGAGGACAGGGCACAGGGCAGGGATTAGGGCTAAAAGAAGAGCACAGAGCACATGACAGGGGACAGTGAAGGGCGCAGGGCAGAGGGCAGGGCACAGGGTGGGGAACAGGGCAAGATACAGGGCAAGACAGAGAACAGGGCACAGAGGAGGTCACAAGGCAGAGTTTACAGAGAAGAGCACAGGGCAGGGCTTGGGCAGAGTCCAGAGAGCAGGGTGCAGGGCAAGACACAAGTCAGGGACCAGGGCAGGTCCTGTCCACACAGCAGAGCACAGGGTAGTGAATAGGGTAGGGCACAGGATACATTACTGTGAACAGGGAAGGGCACAGGGCAGATAATAAGGCACACGGCAGATAACAAGGCACAGGGCAGGGAACAGGGCAGAGTACAGAGAAGGGCACAGAGCAGGGTTTAGGGTAAAGAGCAGGACAGAGGGAAGGGCACAGCGCAGAGAGCAGGACAGGGAACAGGGCACAAGGCAGACAGGTCAGGTAACAGGAAGGGCACAAGGCATAGCAGAGGGACTGCATCCTGAAATGGGATGCACTAGGTAAGTGGTACTAAGTGCCATAGAATATGCCCTGGCTCTTACAGATCTCTGGTGGCCCTCTGACAAGTCTATTAGAGCCTATGATGAACTCTGATGGCCTAGTTTAGCTCCTAAGGTCCCAAACTGTTTCCCATGGGCCCAAAACTGCCATCTGAAGGGGCGCATTTACCTAATCCCCAACTGACCTCAGATGACGCCACATGGAACCTTAGGGTCCAACTCCGACAAACTACCCAGCCCTCAGCTGGTCTCTGAGGGCCAATGGTGGGGTCTTTAGGGCTCACACTGGTCACTGAAGGGCTCACTTTGACCTCTAAAAGCATTGATGCTCTATATAGGTCTTTGGTAGCCCATACTGACTTGAGCCTTGAGGGCCAAACGCTGATCTCTTCAGTGGTCATGCAGCATCCTGAGTGTCGCAAACTGGCATCTTGGAGGTCAGGTGGGCCTCCAAGGGTCATGACGTGCTTCCTTCTTAGAATCCACCTTCATCTGAGTGCCGTTTTCGGGGATCCCTTGGCTTTGGTGGGTCCCATACAAGATTCCTTGGATGCGTCGCCACGTCGACCTCTAAGAGGCTAACACTGTCATATGACTACTGCCCCCCTCCCCTCCTCCAGCTAGCCTTCTGGCTCACGTAGCGGCAACCGTCTGATTCCTTTTATCTGATTTACGTCTTCACTTCCTCCCACGTCTTTTCGTCTGATGTGTCGCCTTACAGCCTTCTATCACGTAAAATCTTCTGCTTCGCCCATTGCTTTGAGTCTCGCATCGTAGCTCTCACATCTGACGTCTCAGCTCACATGGCGTGTCACCTCACGCCTGTACCTCACGCCTCAATGCTTGTTTCACTCCACATCAGCAGCTGATGTCTCACCGCGTTCTGCCCACAGGTAGTCACGTCCATCTGCCCAGCCAACAACAAGCCGATCGCCCAGGTACGGACCGCCAGCCCGGAGGACTACCAGGAGACCATCAAGGCGTCCCAGGAGGCCTGGCAGGTGTGGGCCGACCTGCCCGTTCCCAAGCGGGGAGAGATCGTGCGTCAGATTGGCGACGCGCTGCGCCGCTACCTGGACCCGCTCGGCCGACTGGTCTCCATCGAAATGGGTGAGGAGGAGAGATGGCACCTCTTGGCGCCGATACCGACGTAACGACGATCTCCATAAACTCTGCTTTAAAAGAGGGTTGTGGCACCGCGCTCAAGCTGCTCACCATATTTTGCCAGTGATTGCAGATGTGGTTAGAACGAATTTTTGTCGTTTTCTTTTGCTTTCCGGCTTCCGCTTAGATGGTTGCTTAGTTGCCTGGTTCTTTGGAACATGACCTTGCAGTCGGGTGTTCAGTACGCGATCAGCGATGTGCAACGAGTAGTCGTGACTGCACTGAGTAGTTCCTTCCAGACAAATTAAAATGTCCGGTATTGTATATAATTTTATTCCCTAGCATGCACAGCTGCTTTTAGGATTTCATGACCAGTTGACCCGGTCTTTTCCTTCCCATCTAATATCCCATAAGAACGTGTCTGAACCCCACCCCTCCCTGCTCCGCCGTTAGGTAAGATCGTGCCGGAGGGTATCGGTGAGGTGCAGGAGTACGTCGACATCTGCGACTACGCCGTCGGCCTGTCGCGCATGATTGACGGCAAGGTGTTTCCGTCGGAGCGGCCCAACCACGCGCTGCTCGAGTGCTACAACCCGCTCGGCGTGGTCGGCGTCATCTCGGCCTTCAACTTCCCCTGCGCCGTCTACGGCTGGAACAGCGCCATCGCCATGGTAAGCGCGCCGTCGCCATGGTGATAGTGACAGGGGTGTCATGGTGACCGTGTGGGACGCTGTCCCTATGCCTGCCGGTGGTAAGTCCTGTGATAGTGTCACCCAAGGTGCAGATGCTTTCCGGCTAATTGTGGAATAAATTGATAAGCTAACTGAATATTGGAACGTCATTCATCAAGACACTGACTGATAAAAATATGTTATCCGGTGTTTTTCACATTTCTAATTGTGGACAGTGCTTCCATTCCACAATTATACGGCGTTGTTCTGAATGCGTGAAGTTGGTTTTATCACGAGATTATTCTAGGTATGTTGCTTTGTTTTGTGTTCTTGTCTTCATTTTGTAAAACATTGCCTCTGTGCTAATTATTTCAATGCGCTGCGCACACGTCACCACTGCCTTATTCTGATCTCCCCGCCCCCTCCCCTCCAACAGACGTGCGGCAACACGGTGCTGTGGAAGGGCGCTCCGAGCACGCCGCTCGTCTCCGTGGCCATCACCCGCATCGTGCAGCGGGTGCTGGAGACGAACAGCCTGCCGGGTGCCATCTGCTCCCTGGTCCAGGGCGGCACCGACGTCGGCAAGCTGATGGCGGCCGACGAGCGCATTGGCCTGCTCTCCTTCACCGGCAGCACGGCCGTGGGACGACAGGTGGGCAGGGGAGGGGTACGGCAGGTGGGGAGAGCGTGTCGTTGATATGAGGGAGCTGGTAGGAGCATATTATCCGCTGCCCTAGCCCACCACGACCCGACTGGACCAGGCGTGCTCCAGTCGTCAGTGATTTTCCACCCACCCATCCCACTCATGGCTTTTGGTGATATTTTACGGTCGGTGTAACATGGCGGAACGACCTTGTTTACCTGACGAGTCGTTGGTGGCTCTCTTACCATTGGTTGTAAGTGGTACCATCGCCGTCGACATGGTTACATTACCCACTCTGTGGTTACTCGACCCGTCGTCTGTGGTTACCTGACCCACCGTCGCTGATTCCAACCCTTCCCCCCCAGGTGGCCCTGGACGTCCAGTCGCGGTTCGGCCGCTTCCTGCTGGAGCTCGGAGGCAACAACGCCATCCTTGTGGACGCCGACGCGGACGTTACGATGGTGGTACGCGCGGCGCTGTTCGCCTGCGTGGGCACGGCTGGCCAGCGGTGTACGACCACCCGGCGACTGGTGCTGCACGAGAGCCTACACGATCAGGTACGGAGGGTATCACTAATCACCACCCACCGGCCAGCGGTGCACCACCACCCGGTGACTGGGTGCTGCATGACAGTCTACACGAGCAGGAATTGGAATGGCGACGTCATGGGGAGACGAAGAAGGCTGTGAAAAGGCTCCCGGCTTATTGTAAACTGGGTGCTGGTCTGGTCGTTTAATGGTCATGGTATGCTCTGCGATGGATAAAAAAGTTATAGATATGCATCGTATGTGCATTGTGCTCGTTTATATAAAAAAAAACAGGCTGTCTCAGTCGCTACCTTTATCAGTTATGCGCCTCCATTCGAACCCACGCGACCTTGTGTGTAGGTGTTCTTCCCCGATTTGGAGCTCCCCCTCCCCCTAGTCTGCACAGGTGGTGACCATTCCCCTCAGCTGAGCGGAACCTCCATTCCCCTCCCTCCCGCACAGGTGGTGGCCGGCCTGGCCAAGGCCTACGCCCAGGTGCGGATCGGCGACCCCCTGGATGACGGCACTCTGTACGGACCCATGCACTCGCAGCAGGGCGTGGAGGCCTACAAAAAGGCGGTCGCTGAGGCTGTCGAGCAGGGCGGAAAGATTGAGTACGGAGGGAAGGTGAGGAGACTATAGCCAGGCGACGGGCGGTGGATGGAGGTCGGACGGAGTTTGTTTATGTGGGCTCAGGGCTGGTTTCTGTCAGCTGTCGTTTTTTATGGTCTGGCCTTTTAGGAGTTTTTTTTTGCGATAGCGCTGGTCGTGATTGAAATGAGAGAAATAATCATTGAGGGCCTGTGGAAACTTTTGAGAAATTACTGATGAATAGGTTTAAGACTTCTTGATGCTTAGTATTGCATCATCGGTCTGACGTGTCAACACTTCTACCAAAACGAATTTTCATTTTTTTCCATCATCACCTTTCAACGAATGTGCACTTGACTGGTAACAATGGAAAACTACTCGTGGCATTTTGCCAGCTGACACAGTATATCGTAAGCCAGCGTTGACGTCGCGCAGATATACCGGGTCAGTCTGATGACGTCACAGCGATGACTGATGACGTGTTCCGTCGCCGCGCAGGTGCTGGAGCGCGAGGGGAACTACGTGGAGCCGACCATCATCACCGGCCTGGCACACGACGCGCCGGTCGTGCAGAAGGAGACGTTTGCGCCGATCGTGTACGTGTTGAAGACGAGCTCCATGGACGAGGCGATCCGGTGGAACAACGAGGTGAAGCAGGGCCTGTCCAGCTCCATCTTCACGCAGAACCTCGGCACCATCTTCAAGGTACGGACACGGGACGCGGATGGGGAGGGGCGGAGGCGGCGGTGCTGTATGTACAGTCAGATTTCAGCCACCGTCTTGAAGGGGGTGTGGTGGACGGTGGTTGATTCGTTTTCTGTGGTTCGAAATTGGACTTACGGGGCGTTATGCCTCACGAATTGTCCGTTTCAACGCTGTCTCTTTTCTTGTGTTTGTCAACCCGTTTTTCTTTGATCCGCCAGTGGCTGGGACCGAAGGGCTCCGACTGCGGTATCGTCAACGTCAACATCCCCACCTCGGGTGCCGAGATCGGCGGCGCGTTCGGCGGCGAGAAGCACACGGGCGGCGGACGCGAGTCGGGCTCGGACGCCTGGAAACAGTACATGCGCCGATCCACCTGCACTATCAACTATGGCACCGAGCTGCCGCTGGCGCAGGGCATCAAGTTCGAGTGAACGCGTGCTGAGAGACCTGATACCGCGGGCTGTGCGGAAACGGAGGTGACCGCAGCGAAGACAAAACGAGCCCGCGGTGGAGAGAATGTTAAGCTGGTGGAGAGATCAGTTTGTACCGACTCAAGGACGCACGTACGGGGTTTGATATCGAGCTTTTTGTAACCGGAGCGCTGTGCTGCGGGCGATTTTGATATTTGCATGCCGGTTCAGTCTGAGAAAAGGCGTATTTTCTGATGTGCGAAAATATGTTCAGATCTGACCAGCAGTCGCTGTTTCTGACATCTGATCTGACAGCTGAAGTTGATACGTAAACATGTGTAGTGCAATAGAAGCGTTAGGCTATTGCTTGACAATCAAGTGCCAAATGAATCGCGCTGGTTACTACTTTTGATAGAATATACTGGCGTTACGTGACGTTGGCGTGTGTGGGGATCGTAGCACTGTAGCGAACAACGGATCTTGGGAATGACTGTTCGATTCCTGGCCGATTACGATCGAATTTATATTATCGGCTCAAAGATTCCATGAAAGCTACATAGATAGGCTAATTCCAGAACATGACTAACGAGGCCTGCCTGAACCATCTCGCATTCTATTCCACTCTTTCAGTCACAGATTACAGACGGCGCACACATACGTACATTTGTTTAAAGATATATTACGATAAATACAACTGGCTGGTTATAGGCAATTCACTATTCGCCAACACAGGAGCGACGTTTCCTAACACAACAGCACGATTCAGACAGCTGGGTCGTGGACCGACCACTGTACGCAGTATATGTAATGTCCCGTTCTGCTCGGTTCCGCCGGTTGTCGCGGTCGCCCCCCGACCGCACACCGATCACCGGCGGACTCGGTCATCGAGAACGTCATCACCGCCCCTCGGAGCTTTCCAGAATAGACAAGCGTCACGATCACAGTTGCGCGAGACACCCGCGCATTAATCCCGCCCAAGACGGCTGGGAGACTCCTTTAGCAGACACCCTCCCCGCCCGGGTCACCTCGAGTCACTGCTCCCTTTACACCGTCCTAACTGAGCTCGAATCCCGCCTCGGACTCTATGGCATAGCAGAGCTTGCTGCGTAGCGTCTCCTCGTCCCTATACTCTGGCAGCTTGAGCAGGTTCATGCACGTGCTGGCCGAGGGCAGGCGGTCGGCGTCGTCAGCCCCGGCAGAGTGAATACACAGCGGCGGGTAGAGCTCGCGGAAACCGAGCAGCGGCGGCCGCGAGCACGACGTGACGAACTTGAGTAGCTGCGTCTTCTGCCGGTCCGTGAGACCGGCCGCCACGCGCCAGAACGTCTCGATGACCGGGTGGTCGTCCGAGTAGCCTCCCGAGTATTTGGTGTGCGCGCGCAGGTCGGCCACGTCCACCGGGATGGCGGCGCCCGAGATGAGCGTCTGGAGCTCCCGGTGATCGAACAGCTGCAGCCACTCGAGAGGTATCACGTCGGCCAGTCCGCGCCGCAGCGCCGCGCACTGTCGCTGGATCTGGCGGTTCAGCTTGAAGTCGGCCACCAGATGCACGTACTCGATGTGGTTGGCGTTGGTAACGGCCACACCGGCGCCGCCCGGCTTCAGCTCCTCGATGCGACTCTCGCCGAGCTCTGTGACGTTGACGGTGAAGTCGAGACCCAGCTCGGAAACGTCGCCGTCGTAGGTGGTGAGGTACAGCAGGTTCTTGTACATGACCGGGTCCAGAGAGTCCAGGTAGTGGATGTCCACGCTGTCCGAGTGGCGGCCCAGCAGCTTGGTGAGGAAGAAGGCGGCCAGCGGCAGCTCGACCAGCATCTGCTCGTACATGGCCTTGCCGAGCACGCGGCCGATGAAGAAGTAGTGGTCGAGCGGCCGCTCCACCAGCAGCTCCACCTGCGGGTTCGGGTACAGCTGGTTGTTGTTGGTCGTCCGGAAGAACCCGCGGTTCGGGTCGAACGCCGTCTTCAGCAGCTCCGAGAGGAACTCTCGGAATATGCCACCGCCGTCGATACCCGCTTCGTCCAGGCCTTTGGCGTTTACCATCTTGACGCGCATGCGAGGCTTCAGCGACGGCTCATTGTCGGGGGACAGCTTCTCGAAGGCGTCCTCGTAGATGTAGTTCCTGCGGATGTTACAGTTGATGGCGTTCCCGGCGCCGGCCATGAAGTGATCCAGCTCCGACTGGGCACCGTGCTTGTCCTGCCGGATGAGCTCCTGGAACAGCTGTACCCGCTGCGGGAAGCTGAAGACGAAGGGAAGCTGGCGCAGCAGCAGCATCATCCGCACGTCCCGCGAGCTCACGATCGGACTGCCGGCCTCCAGCTCGTCCCGCGAGTAGCGCACAGGGCCGGCGAACGGCCGGAACGCCTGCAGGTCCGCCTTGAACAGCGCCACCACCTCCGGGATGCGCTCGGCCGTGAGCGGCTGAGTGCGCTCCGACCAGTGTCCGGGCGGACAGAAGGCCAGCCGGGCGTCCCTCGACTGCAGCTGCCACAGCAGCGCGTTGACGCTGCGCAGCAGGCTGGTCCAGTGAGCGGCCGCCTCGCCATCCGTCGGCCGCGCCGCCGGCACGCCCACGCTCCGCAGCGCTGAGGAGTACGTGGACGACACGCTGGGCTGGAGGTCCGGGTAGGCCAGCTGTACCAGTCCCAGGTAGACGTCCCGCAGCGCGGCCGACATGGCCACTAGCTGCGGCAGCGGGAACAGCGGCGCCGCGCCCACCAGCTCGCCGTCCTGCAGCGTGACCAGCATGTGCGCGAACAGCGCGCAGAAGGCGGCCAGCGGCGGCACCAGCCGCTCGCGCTCGTCAGCCGGCAGGTCAGTCCCTGCCGCCACCGTCTGCAGCAGCGAGCGGCGCTCACCGAACAGCGACGCTGGCGACGAGCACTGCTCCACGACGGCCCACAGCCGGCGCAGGAACGACTTAGAGAAGGCCAGTGTGTAGAGCAGCCGGTACTTGTGCAGCGCCAGCCGTTCCCGGCTGATGAGGTGGTAGCAGAGGCCGCAGAGCGCGCGCACCGCGCCCGACTCGGGCGCCGCGTCGTCCACCAGCCGCCGGAGCGCCTGCACGTGAGCCGGCCGGTCCAGCACGGCGAGCGCCTCCTCCAGCGTGTCGGCCTCCTGGCGCTGCTCGGGCGACTCGGCCGCAGCCATCTCGTCGTCAGAGTCGTCCTCATCGACGCGCTCTGAGCTCCAGCGTGGCCGCAGGTGCGCCGACGCCCAGTCGAGCAGCTCCAGGTAGAGCAGGCGCACCTCGGCCGGCTGTGCGTCCAGCGCGTCTCGGCCCAGTGCCAGCAGCGAGAACAGCAGCCAGGTGCTGGGCGGCAGCTGCTGGCGGCGCGCCGACAGCACCTGCAGGCAGCGGGCCAGCGGGAACGTGCCGTCGGCGGCCAGCGCCGGCAGTAGCCAGTGACGCACCTGGGACGAGAAGCGCGGCTGCAGGAAGCAGCCGGCGAACTCGGCCAGGATAACGTCCGAGAGCGGTCCGGGCCGCTGCGCCAGCCGGAGCGGCTGCTGCAGCAGTAGCAGCACGGCGGCCGCCTGCGGCACCGGCGCCTGCACGGCGTCCTCCTCCAGCGGCGGCACGCGCGCCTCCAGCAGCCGGCGCATGTGGCCGAAGTAGGAGCGCGGCACCAGGTACTGGAGGTGCGCCGCGGCCGCCGCGCCGTCCAGCGACACCTCCAGCAGACGCTGCGGCACCGCCAGCGACCGGCCGCCGTCCGCCGCGCCGCCCAGACTCTGCACACAGAACAGCAGGAGCCGACTGAGCGGGTAGCTGCCGGCCAGCGCGTCTCGCAGCGGCGCGTGTCGCAGCAGCAGCTGGCACAGCGCCACCAGGCGGCGCCAGTCCTCCTCGTCGGCCCGGTAGAACCAGCAGAGGCGCGCGGCCAGTCGCCGCACCAGGCTGGCGTCGGGCGCCGCCGCCGCCGACAGCGCTGCCCGCTCGGCCGTCCACTCGGCGTCGAACGCCTCCCGCAGCCGGCGCCGCAGCCGAGCACGGCCCAGACAGCCGCGCACGAACGCCTGCAGTCGGCCGGCGCAGAGCTGGTGGCGCTCGGTCTGCGCGCGCCGGCTGCGCTCCAGCTGCGCGCGCTGAATGGCCTGCTCCCGCCTCTCAGCGCCGCTGGCACCGCCCAGCCGCACCTGCGGCCGCCGCCGGAACTGACCCTCGAAACTGTACATGGTGAGCGGACTCGGCGGCAGCCCACTCAGCAGTACACCCGGCCTCTGGTCACCTCGACCAACGCTGCACCTGAGGACACACGAGCTAAGATGAAAGCATGTCTGCAGACTTGCAGAGGACCTTCACTGACAATTCATTGTTAGCCATTCTAGACCTTAAGTACACCTGTAGGCTGTATTGTTACGGAGCGAGCGAAGCGACCGTAGTCTTTCCTAAGATTAACCCCGGCGCCTTGATGGGGTCTGCCGAGCAACGCGGTCTGATGGGGGGGGGGGGGCATTTTGGCCCCCTAAGATCTCGAAAACCACGCAACATAGAGAAAAACGGCAAACGGCGTTGGATAGCCCCAACGGAGAACTACCTTGTGACCCAATTTCATTGACCTCGGTCCAATCGATGACGTCACAGGTCAGGTCCAAGGTCGAATTTTCACCGTTTACAGACATTTCAAGAAATGCGTTGTAAAATCGAGTAAAATGCTTGTCATTGAAAATCATCGATGGGGAATTGTCCATAAAATACATATTTTGCTATTTGAGGTCACTGATACCAGGTCAGGTCACAGAGGTCAGGTCAATGAGGGTCAAAATATGAAAATATCATGTGATACATGTTTTATGGTCCATTTTACATAACAAATGCGATTATGTGGGCCAGGCAGGCTTTGGGGCCAGTTTAGGTTATGTTCTGGTGAAGGACAGGTCAAGGTCAGGTCAAATAAGGTCAAATTTTAAACTAATAGTTTTGGATAAAATGGGTATCGATTCGATGCAGCTCGTCACGGGGAGTCTAATGGTGATCTTTGTTTTGCGTTACGTGGTCTAGAATTGCTAAAAATTGAGTAAAAAAATTGACGTCATCAATTTTGAAGAGGTTTTTCGCTATAACTTGGCCAAAAAAGGAGATATCAATCTGAAATTCGGTATGTAGATAGAAGAGCACAGGGACTATCATATATATTCCAGTTTTTCGAAATTAGAAAAAAATTAGTATTTTTTAGTTTTTTTTTTCTTAAAAAACTATTTTTGGGGGTCAAAATCCCAAAATTTTGAAAATCCGAGATAGCAGTTTTGTAGTGCCGTCTCTTCTCTACACGACCACATTAAATACTTTAAAATTGCTTGTTAACTGTAGATTTGGTGAGCGTTTCAAGATGTCTTTGTTTTTTTTTTGCGCAAACATGACCTCAGTTTGACCTCAATAAATCCTGACCCAAGGTGACCTGTGACTTGAAATTTTGTGTGAAGGTGTCAAATTGATGCCCGGAAAGGTACCTACTGAAAATTTGGCGGCGCTACGCGCCGCCGTTTTCACGCTATTTAACCCTCGCCCGCACATGGGGGGGGGAGTTGCCACCCCCCAGGTAGTCTTTCTGCTCTGCACTCAACATTTTTAGAGCTAGAAGCCTGATTTGTCGTATAGCTGCTCCTCTATCCTTTCTTGATTTCCACTGAAAATTTCAAGCTTATGTGGTTTTTGGTTTTGGAGATATGACCTTGTTTTCAGGTCATGTCATGACCCAAATGACCAATCAACATCTTGCGTTGGATATGGGCCTGGTGAGCTTTTGACACCTTGATTTCGGCTTTTTTGCCAGTTTTACCTCCCACCTATCATGGAACATGTTGTTCGGCGATGTACAGATGTCAAGGTCAGGGTCAAGGTCAACCTAGGTAATCTAAAATAATTGCATTTTAGACAAGCTGAATTTACTTTCCGTGAAGTTTTTTGACTGCATTTTGGTAAAAGCTTCTCAGATCATGATTTCATGTAATATGGACACATAAACAATCGGTGCACACATCAGTATACATACAGACACACACAGACATAAAAACACATCATTGACCTTGACCTAACTTGACCTGAAATGACCTCAGCAGCAAAAACCTGGTCGGGTAGTGTGACAAAGAGGTTCTAGCTAGCTTGGCACCAGAAAACGGCATCGTCATCGGTATATGATAAGCAGCACACTTATATCCAACGGTGACCCAAAACAGCAACATTTAACATTTTTTAGTTTGACTTGACCTGACCTGGAAGGTCAATGCCTGACCTTGAAGGTCAATGAATGACCTGGAAGGTCAATGACTGACCTGAGAAGGTAAAACTGGGTATCATTGGATTCGTCTCTTCCCAAACTCCCATGTGCGGTTCTAGGATGGGAAAACGGCATGTGCGGGCGAGGGTTAAGAAAAAACACGGGGGGCCAAAATGGCTCCCCTGTCAGTGCGCGGGTTAACCCTCGCCGGCGAGGCGGTTGATGCACCCCCCCCCCCCTATGGTTTTTTGCAAATAACGTAAAAATGGTGGCGCATAGCGCTATCAGATTTGGCATAGCCTCTGGGGTAACCTTTTCGCACCTATCCTGAAAACTTAGTCCCAGTCTTTTCAGGTCAGGTAACTAGGTCACAAAAACCAAGTGACCTCTCCATCAACTTATCAAGTCAATGGGAGGAAATTGAAGAGGCTCTTATGGATGATCATCATTCTAATCACTCAAACAACAAATTAAGAGTTAACATGTCCTAATGAATCGCAAAATGGCCCCTGTGACCCCTCATTAAGTTCCTGAAATCACATGGATCGCACCCAACAGGTTTTTCACAAATAACTTTTGAAAGAGGCATTCTAGAGTGATGAAAACACCTTAGATGTGTTCTGATAAACAATACGGATCAACTGATATGCAACACAACTTGATATGCAACATGCAACAAAGCCAGGTCATGACCTTGACCTGAGGTCATGTTTACAAGTTGATCTTACAGGGTCTGATTATAGTTAATTCGATGCATCTTGACAAGAGGAACACGATGCTGCTGAAAGTAGACTCATGCAAATTTTGGGTCAAAAGCTATTGCACGCCACAAGAACTGCTCCTGGAAAAATGTCATTTTGAGTTTTAACTCCCTCCCCCCTGCAAGCTACACCTCAGGTCAAATCTGAGGGGATTATTCATAAAGAGCGTCAAGAGAGCTATCGCATGCTCCTTTCCACAGTGCTGTAGCTCTATCTTTTCTTTAGCTATGTGCTAGTTAGGGTATTGGTAACCCTGGCATCTGTAAGAATCTTGACCCTGGCGTCACCGGTAGCGTTTTCGTTCAAAGTTAAGGTTTCCTGTATGAGGCCGCCGTGCCAAGCTGAAGCATGCTGTGACGTCACTGGGTAAGAGAAGATAACTTACCATGCTATCGGTATCGACTGAGACTCAGATAGACTCAGACCGACTCAGGCAGACTCAAACTGACTCGACCGACTCAAACCGATTCAGATCGACTCAGTCCGACTCAGAACGACGCAAATTGACTCAGACCGACTCAACCAACTTAAATCGGTTCCGATCGACTCGGACAGACTCAGAACGACTCAGGCAGACTCAAACTGACTCGACCGACTCAATCCGATTCAGATCGAATCAGACCGACTCAAACTAAGTCAGACCGACTCAACCGACTCAAATTGATTCCGATCGACACAGACAGACTCAGAACGACTCAGACAGACTCAGGCAGACTCAAACCGATTCAGATCGACTCAGACCGACTCAGATAAACTCCGAACGACTCAAACTGACTTAGAACGACTCAACCGACTAAAATCGTTCCGATCGACTCAGACAGACTCAGAAGGACTCAGAGAGACTCAGCCTCAGGCAGACTCAAACCAACTCAGGCAGACTCAAACCGACGCAGGCAGACTCAGACCGATTCAGATCGACTCACTCAGACCGACTCAGATAGACTCAGAACGACTCAAACTGACTCAGACCGACTCAACCGACTCAAATAGATTCTGATCGACTCAGGCAGGCTCAAGCAGACTCAGACAGACTCATGCAGACTCAAACCGACTCAGCACACTCAAACTGTTTCGACCGACTGAAAACCGATTCAGGTCTGATGATTCAGGTCACTGCTGGGTCTGTCTGAGTCTGTCTAAATCGGTTTGAGTCGGTTGGGTCGGTTAGAGTGTGCCTGAGTCGGTGCGAGTCTGCCTGAGTCATTCCGAGTCTGTCTGAGTCGATCGGAATCGATTTGAGTACATCTGAGTCGATCTGAATCGGTTTGAGTCGGTCGAGTCAGTGAGAGTCTGCCTGAGTCGGTTTGAGTCGTTCTGAGTCTGTCTGAGTCGATCGGAATCGATTTGAGTTAGTTGAGTCGGTCTGAGTTATTTTGAGTCGTTCTGAGTCTATCTGAGTCTGTCTGAGTCGACCTGAATCGGTTTGAGTTGGTCGAGTCAGTTTGAGTCTGCCTGAGTCGGTTTGAATAGTTCTGAGTCTTACTGAGTCGATCGGAATCGATTTGAGTCGGTTGAGTCGGTCTGAGTCAGTTTGAGTCGTTCTGAGTCTATCTGAGTCGGCCTAAATCGGTCTGAGCCTGCCTGAGTCGGTCTGAGTCTGCCTGAATCGGTTTGAGTCGTTCTGAGTCTGGCTGAGTCGATCGGAATCGATTTGAGTCGGTTGAGTCGGTCTGAGTTAGTTTGAGTCGGTCTAAGTCGATCTGAATCGAGTTGAGTCGGTCGAGTCACCTTGAGTCTACCTGAGTCAGTTAGAGTCTGCCTGAGTCGTTTTGAGTCTGTCCGAGTCGATCGGAATCGATTTAAGTCGGTTGAGTCGGTCTGAGTCAGTTTGAGTAGTTCTGAGTTGGTCGATACTGATAGCATGGTACGTTACCATCTCTTACCCAGAGAAGTCACATCATGCTTCGGCTTGGCACGGCGGCCTAATACAGGAAACCTTAGCCCTGCACAAAAACACTACTGGTGACGCCAGGGTTACTGATACCCTAGTTTGTAAAGAAATTTGTCAGAAGTTTTACCTCTGAAAACAAGCTTGGCCCTTGGGTGACCAGGGCCCTGTTTCACCGGTGATAGCAGCACGCTCTGCTAATCACACGTGTCAAATTGGGTTTCCATGGAAACATCAACAAACCATGACACCGTCAATCTGTGTGATGTCATCAAATATTGCTGCTAACATCTTCACGGCAGTGCCCGTGCGATCAGACAAATGTATCAAACGCAATTCAACGAGACAGCAACTCTGTTCCAAACGCAGCTCACGGATTACACGAAACGTCATTAGTGTGACCTGGTCACATTACGTCAGCTCGCGCAATTTGATAGTAGCGTGCTGCTATCACCGGTGAAACAGGGCCCTGGCCTTTGACCTGATCAAAAAGTGAACAAATAATTTGATTATTTTTTATGCCCTTTCGAACGCCACTTGCAGTGTGTCCAAAATGATAGAAGGCAGACAAACTGACTGCCGACATCAACATAGAGGTCATTGTCATAACTCATAGGTCAGTGCACGACAACGATGCCTAAAAAAAAACAAAAAACTGGTACTAGGTAGTCGGTACCTGACCTACCTACCTATAACTCAGCGCTAGTTTAGGTACCTACCTTTCGGGAGCAATAGAAACGCAGCGTCGTAAATGTCAAAATTTTGCAAAAAAAAAACAATGACCGCTCAAGATGACAAGAGTACGTCAATCCTCCAGCACGCTACCACCGCGATGTCAAGTTGAATTCTCCAGAAATTCCCCACGCATTCGCATCATCGGCATCATCGTAAAAAAAATATAAGCAAATCATGCTGAGAGAGTTGATCAATGTTGCGTTGTATTTGTCGCATAACGCTACTGCCAAATCCTACCAAATCCTCCATATCCTTCACCACCTAAAATTTGTCGTATGGCGACACCTATAACAAAATACCCTTGAAAATACCTACTCAATTTGATTTTGACTACAGATGGCGTACATTGAAATCGGGTGTGAAAAAGTCACAAATGGTCAGATTTGATGTTGCCCGTGCAGTGGCGGATCCAGGGGGGGGGGGGGCAAAATGGGCATTTGCCCCCCAAACGGCATGATTTTAACATTACGCCTATGGACAATGCATGGAAAGAATAGATAAATTGTTATGGTTTGCCCCCCCGTGTCGGGACGCGGCCGGCCGGCCGCGGACCATTTTCAGAAGTGGCGGGCAGACCGTGCGTCGAGTACTTGCTTTCTCGCGCGGCGGTACTGGGGTTCACTAGCATTGTTTAAAATATTTTCATTTGCCATGAACTTGAAATTATACACTGTAATTAACGATCATTTGTCAATTATTACAAGTTCTTCAAAATTCTCCTTTGAAAGCAAATTATTTCATTTCACTCAAGAATTGTCTTGTCCACCACTACAACCGCCACCCATCCGCCATCCATTGGAAGAGATAGGCTCTGCGGCACAAAGTGTCGTTTTAAACTGGACTGGGAACCAATGTGTGATGACATTTCGAGCTAAATTTATGCTCATTGTGTACCTAGAAGCATTGGGAACAACGCTTTGACTGTACATTTTTAGATTTTTGCCTCTAAATGAAAATATTTACAATCAAGTACTTTGCGAGCGCAGTTTAGAAGCTCCCGTAATTAAAGTCCTATCTCCTACAAGTATGTAAATACTGCTCTAGGGAACCAACAGTTTGCATCGTACTAGCTTTAAATTATATCCATATTGTTCCCAGTACTTTGCTGAACACTGTGGTGAGTGTACATTTTTCGTTTTTTGCTTTACAAGCGTAAAATTTGTCTGGTTCTACACCACTTCATTCGCCTCCATAGCCCGGTAACGGCGCCGCGCGGCGCGGCCGGCCGGCGCCCGCTGTAGTTCCAAACACTGCCCGATAGATGGCAGGCGCAGAAGTGGTCCCAGCCGTCCCGGTACGCCCCCAAAAAAACTGAGCTGGATCCGCCTCTGTGCCCGTGCACCTATGGGGGGGGGTAGGAGGGGAGGCGGTTGCGTGCGCCACGAAATTTAGCACTACTAAACTTCCTCATTTTTTTTTTTTTTTGCTACTTGTATCATATTCTACAGTAGGTATGTGGCAGGGCTGCGGAGTCGGATCGTCGGAGTCGGAGTTGGAGTCGGTCGGAATCGAAAGTTTTGCCCGGAGTTGGAGTCGGAGTCGGAGTCGCCAAAATCTTATCGACTCCTACGGAGTCCGAAGTCGGAGTCAACGATGCAGCATGGCTCAACGTCATGCACTGCACCCATGTTTGATCTTGAATTGATGGGGGAAGCTTGGGTATTATTGGACGGGCCACTTCAAGCCATCGTAACATGATGGTTATCATTTTTATGTAACTGGGAGTCATTTAACCCTCGCCGGACCTATTGGTTTTCTACATACGCGCCGGCCGAGGGGGGGGCGGGTACGACCCCCCCCCCCTCGCCGTTTCGCCCCTGGTGGAGCTAGCGCGTCGCGGAAAAAACGAGCGTGTGCGCCGTTACGAGACGCAGAGATTGCTACCCGATTTTAAGGTCCTAGGTCAACCGGTGACCTCTGAGGTCAGGTCAAGTGCCCCAAGGTACGGTTCAGTTTTTGGTGAATAACTTCGCAGAAAACGGCCGCAGAGCCGCGATTTTGGCAGCATCGTGTTCGCCTCGCTCAGGCGCGTCGAATGATATACTTTTTGTTCGGGTCAGGTCAACTTGGGGTGTTGACCTCAGGTCAAGGTCAGGACCTCAAGGTCACGAAGTTGGTCGAAAGGGGTCATGTCGCATATCATTCGATTCGGCAGGTCTTCCTGAGTCCATTGGTGGCTTCCCCGACTCGCTAGCTCAATTTGATCAAGAGTTATTGACGAAAAACTGATATGACCTTGATGACGTCATAAATGACGTCACGAAAGGTCAACATTGCAAAAGTGACGCATCTAACCTTGCAAGGAGTGCATCAAATCACGATTCTGTGTGCTTGACATAGTTGGAGATCGTTCCCGGCGCCAGAATAGCAGTTTTCATTTTTCCCCATTGACTTATAATGGTGAGGTCAGGAAAATGACCTGACCTCATATGACCTTTAGGAAAAATCCGAGATATACAAGTTGTGAGACTCATAATGGATACTAGATCCTGCAAGTTTCATTTCCCTGTGACATCTCCTCTGGCAGTGAGGGCGTTGCGAAGTTGCGACATCTGAAGACCGTGCAGAGGTTCACTTATGACGTCATAGGTCAGTGACCTGACCTGACCCAAAAATGCGGTTGGTGTCAAAAGATGCGGCTTGAATCAAAGGTCAGGTATGCCAAGTTTCAGCTCTCTATCGCCAGCGTGTTCGGAGCTATCGCGAAAAAAACCTATGGGGGGGGGGCGGCACCCGCCCCCCCCCCCCTCGGCCGGCGAGGGTTAAATATATGAAGAAAGCCCAAAACTTTGTTTTTTTTTAAAAGTCTGCTGAGGTTCCGGTGTTGCGTTGGAGCGCAGCGATTTTTTAAAGAAAAACAAGTTACTTGGATACCTATTATCGGACAGCAGCAGCAAACTACGGACGGGCGTCCAAATGGATCCCAAGGCAAGAGTGTTGATATTGATATTGGTTCCCGAGTTTTGCATTGGCTTCTTGCTCTTTCAAACGCCACCTTCCGCGTGTCGCTCCGTGGCCCATGGGAGCCGAGTTAGAAGAGGGGAAGGTGGGTTCAGCTCCCCCCATGGGGTAATATCGGTCATCGGATGGGTGTCCGATAATAACAAACACGTATGACGTAGGCCGTTCAAAATGCGGCAAAATGAGAGCTACAAGGCTACAAGCATATTGAAACCTGAGCAGTAATCGCCACGCACTTTGTATGTGGATCGCTCTTAACCCGCGCACCGACGGGGGGGGGGGGGCGGATATCCGCCCCCCTGAAGTTTTTTGCGGATAGCGGGAAAACCGGCGGCGCTACGAAATTTGGTACCTACGACTATTCTCTCATCAATTTTACACATGGTGTGCAAGTTTGAACCTCCTAACTTAACGAAGCACTGTGCTTCGTTAAGAAGTGCTTCGAACTAAGTGCTTCGTTAAGAAGCACTTAGTTCAACTAAGTGCTTCTAACCTAACTTAACGAAGTTGCGACATCTGAGGACAGTGCACGCTGCAGGTCTTTGCTTATTACCTCATAGGTCAGTGACCTGACCTGACCCGAAAATGTGGTTAGTGTCAAAAGATGGCTTCATTCATGCATGCATTAACTAATTAATTAATTAATTAATTAATTCATTCATTCATTCATTCAATCAATCATTCTTTCATTGTTTCATTCATTCATTCATTCATTCATTCGTTCATTCATTCATTCATTCATTCATTCATTCATTCATTCATTCATTCATTCATTCATTCATTCATTCATTCATTCATTCATTCATTCATTCATTCATTCATTCAAAAATCATTATCAAAGGTCAGATATTCCGAGTTTCAGCTCTCTATCGCCGGTGTGTTCCGAGCTATAGCGAAAAAAAAAAACTATGGGGCGGCACCCACCCATCCGCGGCCGGTGAGGGTTAAGGGATGTTTTTTTTTTTGTTGTTGTTGGGTTAGGCCCTTTCGGTCCAATAGACCATTTCAGAGCCGGAAGGATGTTAGGAATTAGGGAGAGACATTGGTCTGGGCAGGCACCCTAGTGAGTCACCGGGGCTGAGCCCATCCCGAAGGACAGGCCGATCAGCCCCAAGGTACTCACTGCACCCGGCTACGGGGTGCGCTCCCTCGAGAGCAGCGGTGCCGCTCCAAGGGAGCAGCCCGCATGAGATAAGGGATGTAGATGTCTGATGCAGAAGGCCGCCAGTCGATCAGTCGAGCGGTTGCCGAGATACAACTCTCTCAAAAGCATCACGAGGCCGGGGTCGGGTCGGGCCGCTCATATTTATATTTCTTTCCGTAGATAATCCGTAGATAGATTCATGGATAATCTCGCTCGCTCATTTAATCTGAAGGCTTTGTAAGGAAAATACACCAAGTGTACATGATTTCGAACTCAGCACATCCCCGTACTGACGATCAGGACATTTGGCGGCCAGGTACTGCCAGACCATGTTCGTGGGCCACTCTGCGCCGTGTAGCTGCGAGGAGCAGGTCAAACTCCACTACTGCGGGCCGTACAGCATCCACGAGGATTTCTGCAGCGACTACTACAACCACTGGATTGTGCCGTGCATCAGCTCGGCTTGAGCGGTCCGAGCAGAAACAGCATCGATATAGGATTTTGTGGACGATAACAGTGTGTGTTCAGTAGGCTGAATGAAGTCACCCTGTGACACAGCGCCTGCTCCTCTAAATGATCAGAAATGCATATGACTTATGAGCAAAACTAATATCGTCTTCAATACATAATCGAACTGCTATTTACAGCTGCTGATGTTCACCCTAACTCATAAGGTCAATACATCATGCCTATTTATTCCAATCGTGTGTTTTACAAATATGTATGCATGACGCCTTAGCCCGGCACCGTATCGGTTACTCGTATTTCCCAACCCACGACAGCCTGGGGGAGGGGGTCGGATCTGCCCCCGTTATCTCGAGAACCAGTGGTCGTATCGAGCTCCGTGAGTCAGCGCTCGAAAACTTTCTACAAGACCTTCCCAAAACACTCCCGAGGTTCCAAGATTGAAGCCAGTTTTTGGGTCAATGTCAGGTCAAAGGTCAAATTCTGGAGTATCTGCATGACGGGCTTATGCACGGCGGAATCAGTAGACTTTGTCCTAAACTCGGCCAAAGTGATCTTAAAGGCTATGTTAAAATATTATGTGAGCATAAGTGTCATACTATGC